CTCATCCAGAGCGGGAGCCACAGGCAACATGGGAGGGGGCCTTATTCTGAGTCAGAGACCATTGGTCTAGTCAATCGTTTCAGCTTGGTATTGTCCACACTGAACAGCAGCAGGATTCCAGTCAGTCACAGTTCTCTCACAGCCCTACCTGGAAATACCAGAGATTGAACCTGCGGCCTTCTTCAGGTCAAGCAGATGCTCTGCCACAGAGATGCAGCCCTGCCACACAGGTGAGAAAAGAGGAAGAGGCCAAAGAAAATAGCACCAGGTGAGCTCTTCTCCGTGCCTGACTTCATTTGGGTAAGGAACTGGCAAACCCTATTTATTTATTAATTTTATTTCCCGTTTGATTATAAAAAAAGAAAAAGAAAAAACCCTCAAAGCATTTTACAAAAAGGTAAAACCACAACCATAAAACTGTTATGTACTGAGTTGAATAGAATCCAAAATGCAGCAGCCTGATTGGTCCTAGAACAATAGGATTCAGAATGCAGCAGTCTGATTGGTCTGCAGGAGCCACCCAATCCAGCTCCAGATGGAAGTGAATCCACAACCTGATTGGCCTACAGGAGAATTCCGGAATTAGCCAATCACGTGCAGCCCATTGTGTAAATAATGTATATAAAGCAGATACTTTGGGGGAACTTTCATTCCTCCTCACCACTATGAGCTGAATAAAGAGCATGAAATCCACTCTCGACTCTGAGTATATTTCAAAAACATACCAAAGTTACCTCAGCTTTCAAAGTATTGTAATGTTCTAGGTTTCTAAGAAATGTTCTAGGCTTCTAGGTAATGTTCTAGATTATGATGTGGGAGGAACAAGGACTGCAAGCAAACCTCATTCACAAAGCTATTTCTAGGAGACTAATGCTCAATAGATTAATCTAATAATGGCTTTATTAAAAAAAATCTAACCCCTAATCCCAAGGTATTCCTAATCCACCACCCCTAAATGCTTAATAGCCAATTTTGTGAAGTGATTTTGCTCCCCTGAGGGTGTCAAGTTGCATGGGTGGTTACTGTAATACACAGTTCAGTGGTGCAGCAGACAGATCCAAAGGTTCCCAACTCAAACCTCAGCAGATATTGATGGATGTAATTTACATTCAACCTTTTTCTTCAGGGAGCTCACTGTGGAGTGAATGCCCCCCCTCCTTATTTAATCACCACAACAGCCCTATGAGATAGGTTAGGCTGAGGTAGTGCAGCAGCTTGCCTACATCCATCAGTTAATTTCAAGGCTTATAAGAGAATATCTGAAAGTCAGGTAATCCTAGCTGCAAACATCCTTTCAGTTCTTTTTTTTAAAAAAAAGAACAAATAAATCCTTGATCTGTTGGGTTCTGGCTCAAGTAAACTGCTGAGCCACCCTGAAGCAAGATGCCAGGTTTCGAGAGAGGCAGGGTGGCATAGTGGGTGGAGTGTTAGACCAGGACCTGAGAGGCCAAGAGTTCAAATCCCTGAAGCCAGTCGCTGCCTAACCTGACTCACAGGATTGTGGTGAGAATAAAATGGAGAGAGGGAAAGACCATGGATGCCACCATGGGATATAAATGCAATAATAAATAAAATAAAAAGAGGTGGGAGAAGCTTTTCCTGCCAGCCCTAAAGCAACTGAAGGCACATGAGTTCTCCCAGAAGTGGAATGACTACTCGAGCTCACAAAATGATGTAGCTTTTCCGTTCTGCATTTCTAATGGGACAAAGTGGCACTGCAGTGCATTCTTCTGTCACTTTAGTGACAGCTGTCCTCCTGGACTGTATCACTTCAGGATGCAGGCAGCACAGACTGCATTTTTGAATGTTGCCTATGTAAAAAGCATAACCAAGACCTAAGAGTTGCCGCCTAACCTTCTCTGCGATCTGCCAGCCTCCCGCATGCAAGGAACATTCAAATGTGCTCGCCTCCATCCACATCCTCAGTTGGTATAGTAGTCAGTCCCATGAAAATGCACCGCATTAGAACAATCATAATGTTTACACAGTCTTCTCTTATTATACACTCAGAGGTCATCCAAGTACTACAAGTAAGGAAGTAACAACATATCAGTTCAAATTTCATGAGAGCTACTGCCTTTTTTAGAAGTTTCTTTATATATTTAACATCGTTTTTTCTATCTGTGTATTCTGCCATCACTTGGATTCCACTGCCATCTAGTGGATATTTGAAAATAAATGAGCTGTTTCAGAAAAAACTGAGCATAGCCAGAGCTGTTGTAATGCCTAAATGGGATGAAATGCAATTGAAATTTGTTATACATGGTGCATCACAGAATCCAGTACAGGAGAATCAAAAGTAGGATTGTGTCTGTTAAAAGTAAGAGTGCATGTATCTCATTAAAGGAACCCAACAGAGGAATTTTGCTTTTGCCTTTGTATTGTCTTCAGCTGTTCCAGTAGAAACTCACCATAAGCTGAGTTAGTGGTTAAACAAACTTTCTTCCTGATTTGGCCAAAGAGCCTGCACACAGCAGCAACTAACCAAATCACCCAGGCCACACTTTTGGGACTCAGAAGGGGCCCATGTGCCAGAGATAATTATGTTAATAATGCACACATTTTCCTCTTTGAACTGTTTAATGCAGTTGCATATATCTTTGTTTACATTAGAGCATATGATAGGCAACAACTACATAAAAATAAAAATAAAACAACAGTAAACACTGGCTATGCAAAGCTTTATCTTGCCTTTCCCCGTGTTATTCAACATCTACATGAAACCACAGACAGAGGTTGTCTGACAGGTTGGGTGCTGGGTGCTGTTGATACGCTGATGAAGCCCCCAGTTCCCTTCCATCATGCTTGGGAAATCACTTGAAGTCCAAAACCTGTCTCTGAAATCAACAAAGGCCTGGATGTAGAAAAAAAGCTGAGGCTTAATCCAGACAAGAAGTGAAGAAAGGAGGTTGTGGTGGCTTCTCCAGTCCTCACCACCCATCCACTCACCTTCCTCAGCATCTGACAGGAGCTGCTCCACATTTTTTAGATTTCCCTCAGGCGGCCTTTATGAGTTACGGACAGGAACAGCACTTGGACACCACTTTGCCCAACTTTGTGGCTGCTCACATGTTGTCCCAGTATCCAGACCTTTGCGCTATACTTTCAAGTAAGCCATGGCTGTGGTGAGCCAAGTAAAAACGTATATAATGGAAACAAATCACTTTATTAAATTTATGGGTATTAATCTGATTTGCATAGTTTATTACAAATCTGGTGCTATTTTGGTTGCAGAATATAGGGATTACACATTGTGCTGTTAATATCTTTTATCAGTCCTGGCCATTTATTTCTAAGCATATATCACAGGCACACCAATGCATCGTTCTGGATATGATCCAATATATAGCATTTTAAAAATCTGCTTGATTTCAATGGGCAAGTTAATGTTCTCTAAAATCTCTTCCCCACTGGACTCAATGGACTTACAAGTGCTGTACTTTGGACTGTGCCTTCAGATGTTGTAATATTGTGAGGCATTTCTTTGTCAGACAGATTGCAGGTTGATAGTCCAGAATGCTCTTTGATGTCTCTTGAAGGGAGATAATGGTTAAGAGATACCTGGAGATCTGTCTTGACAGGTAGCTGTCAGCAGCATGGAGAGAGAGAGAGAGAGAGAGAGAGAGAGAGAGAGAGGGAGGGAGGGAGGGAGAGGGAGAGAGGGAGGGAGGGAATGGGTGGGAGAGGGAGCTCTGACTCACTTGAAGGTGTATAGGAGTGCAGAGTTGCATCAAACTCTCTGGATCCAGCAATGCAGTTAGATAATTTTAGACTGGTCCACAAAACTTGGTGGGGGATTATCTTTGGGTAGATCTACATTGCAAACTTCAAAGCAGCAGATTTCAGTGCACATAATACCCTGTTGGATTGTGGCCTCAGACTGGATTTGATAGTCGATTCCTCTCCCCAGAGAACACTAGGCTCTGCAGTTTGGCAGGCTGGGAGTTTTTAAAAGCCTGCCTCACCAAACTGCAATTACAGGATCTCTGGGGGAAGCCAGTACCATTGACGTGGCATGCAACGGATGGCTACAGTATCTATATTTCGATAGCAAGCCCGTGTTTTCTAATTCTTGAAAAGTGCCTAGCAATTTTAGATGAAATCATATATATGTGGTTTAATAAGCAACCCCTCTTCACAAGGAACTGCGAAATGTAGCTCTGGGAGAGGGGTCTCCTAACTGCTTTTTGTACCCTTTGCAAACTGCAGCTCCCAGAATTCTCTGGGTGAAAACGTGACTGTTTAAAGTGCTATCGTAGGGCTTTAAATGTATGGTGTGAATGTGGGCTAGGTAATCCAGCAGGGCTCTTACATTTTTAGGTACACCTCCATCTATGATGGCATCATTAGAGTTAAGTCTGTGGTAGTTAATACTACACACTCTTACAGTAACTCACTGAATGATAATGACTGCTTACCTGGTCACAGGGTGGACGGCTGTTGTGGCCCATCACTCCAAGCTCCTCCCCCTCAGGTGCATTGCCAGGGCTAGGCGGTTGGCCATTGGGGAATTCCCAGGCCAGTCATTGGAGACTGGTGGGCTTTCCTGCCATCTGTTGATCTGAATCCTTGCTGGGCCGTGTAGGCAGGGCTTTGGACCTGATAAAGGCAGGCTGTCCAACACTGTCTTACACCAACTCACTGACTGATAACAGCATCTTCTCCCTCCTCCCACCCAGAGCCCTTGGTCCCCCAAATATGAGTTCCCATATGGGTTTTGGACCTGATGAATTTTCCCCCCCGCCGTTCCTATGGGCACAGCAAAAAACTCTTTTTCTATTAAAATTTCCACACTGGAAGTGGAATTAACTAAGGCAAGCCTTACACCTCATTTGAAGCCAAAGAGGCGCATGTCACAAATAATTCTGATCAGACTGCAAATGCGGAAAATGCCTTCATCTTTATATATCCATTGCTGGTATACAGGCTATGACTAGGTAACCAAAACAGTAAAATGTATCAAAAGGAGAGCACTACAAAGCGGAAACAAAGAGAATGGCAACAGGGAAGAGAGGCCAATTTATTAATGTGGTTCAAATAAATCACAATGCATTTCAAGCAATGAGCTCTTTGTGAGGGGTCTATCAGGAAAAGGAATTGTTCATCTCTATTGCAGTGTCTTGGATGATTTGCTCCAAGAAGCTAATAAACATTGAATCCTATAATGGTACAAAGGATTTGGGGGGTTATCAAAGAAATTGTAATGGATGTGAGCTAGTCTTTTTTTCTGATAGACTCTCCAGTAAACAAAAAATTGCACAAACTACTTTGAGACTTATGCCACATGAATTAGTAAATTGGTCCTTTGCACCAGCTGGTTTTTTAAAGACAGCAACAATGGCAGTAGCATAAACAGAATTGTACAGTGGTTGGGGAGGAGGGCACATAAATATTTCCAAAATCAAATCACACGTAAACCTAATTGTATGGAAGATTGAGAACGTGTATTGGAAGAAGATGGGCTAGTGTGTGATTTTAATGACACAGTCAGTGGATTGATTTTATATGTGCCATTTAAGGGGAATAAATCAAAGTCACAGTGGAAAATATCCTTACAGTCAAACCATCCAAGTACTCCACTGAAATGTTTGAAAGATTACTCTAGACTTAATTTTGAAGTAGAAAATAGTACATATTTTGTAACTGCTGTATCATCTATCTGCCATTCACTTTACTTCTTGGGTAAAGGAAAGTAATTAATCAGTTTTCAGTTGTTTATGGCAACTGAACCCAGATTTGCCACAGCAAACTTCAAGTATGGTGGGAAATTTTCTGTCAGAACAAGAAGCAACCTATGGGAAACCGAATTAGCATTTTATAGAGTCATAATACATGTTCACATATGCTAAAGAATAGAGACATATTTCTGGTATGTTTGTTTTTTCAAGTAGCATACAATGCACAAGTTCAAATATCTCTCATCATTCATTTTTCACAGTACTGTTTCATTCTTATCACAAAGAATCATCAGAAGATGATTGTTCTAGTGGCACAAAGCATCTTTCTGTTCCTTCAGGTGTCAAGAAGTCCTCCACCATCCCCCACAGATGCCTAAAAACAAATGAAAACAACACACTTGTGGCTAAAACCCACTGTGGCAAGTATTTGGCTGAAGCACCCCACCAAACTGTTTTCTACTTTTTTATTAAAGAGTAGCCTGAAATGTTGTGGGGAAAGAGTAATTTGCTCTCCCATCTTCTCACTATTCCATCTTGATTTAGCACTAGACAATCTACAAGGGAAAAATGGTCAACTGTTCATTTATCTAAGCTAGAAAGACTCAAATTTAGAAGATCTTTTACCCTTGCCAGATTCAATGCCCTCCCATTTTCAGAGCGAATATGCCCATGCAGTTGGAAGGAAGTTGAAACTGTTATTCATGTCCTAATATACTGCCATTATTACAGAGATATAATTTCAGTATTTATCACTCCAATCATACAGCGAATCCCAAGCAGATCTGATGACCACAACTTAAAATATCTAATAGAGAACAGGGAACCAGAGATTACCTCAAAAGTGGCTAAATTCTGTGCTGCTGCTGCTGCTGCTGTTGCTATACAATTAAGGTGAAAAGCCCTGAATGAACCCAAAGGTCAATGTCTTAGCACACATATTTTAAATTAGCGGTTAAGGTTTTATCGTGCATATTTCGATTGTTTTATATCTGTACTATTTACCGTGTTCTAGCTTATAGAGTTTAATTTTAACCTATTTACCTGTTCTCTGTTGCCGTATATGTCTGTATTTCTGGTCTGTGTTCATAAGAAATCAATTCTTTCATTCATTTACTTCATAGGATATGAAGCAATGTTCTGTGTCTATTGTGGTCTCCAAGACTGTTCCAGAATGTTCCTGTCATGATGCCATCTATACAGAGAGTCCTCCTTATAGTGAGAGCATGTTTAGGAGTTGGGCTCTTAGGGCTCCTCCATACTTACCTTTTGCCCCACACCAACTCTATCCCCCCCCCCAAGTATGTTGGGTGGAGTTGAGCCCCCCCCCCATCTTGAGGGGCTTGGTCTTGCTGGGCCTTCCTGTGATGGTGGCAGGCTTGCTGGGCCTCTCCATAGCGGTGGCGAGCCTCATTGTCCCCCCTCACAGTGGTGGTGGGCCTCATCAGGACTCGCAGGCTCCTCCTGACACGCATGACATCACATGTGTGCATCACATGTGTGATGTCACACGTCGAGCTCCCCTCCCCCCCCCCCATGCTGGGTGGAACTCAGTGTCTCTGCTTTCTAGGCAAAGATCTGTACTTTCAAGCTCTGGGTTGGACAGCTCCCCTGCTCCCCGCTGATTTCCACAGCTGAATCGGAACAACCAGCAAAATTGGGTTTTCTGTGGGTTGTCATTTGCTCTGATTCAGTGGTAAGAGTAGGTAAGAGTGGGTTTCAATGGGGAAAGCGCTGGGGCAAAAAAATAAAAGAAAAAAAGTGTTTAGACACAGAGCTTTAAAGCACAGACTGTGCTTAGAAACATGGCATGCCTGGATGAGGTCAAGGGTGTTCATCTTATACAAGTGCTAATTCCTACCTGGGTTGAAGCTGACAAAGTCTTCAGGAGCTTTTTTGTTAGCAGGGACTTTTCTGCAATGCACCTCTTCTCTGTCTAGTATGTCCCCTGAGCCACTGGATGAGGGATTGCATGTGACCCCAATGAAAACTACTTTGGACATCTCAAAGGGAGAGTGGAGGATAAAGAAATTTAACAGCAGCAGCAGCAGCAATAATAACAACATTCGAGCTTACATGTGTTGATTTAGGGAGTGAATAGAAATATAAGAATATTCCTCTGTAGTCCATTCCAACTCTAATATCCTAATCTAGTCCCAGTTTCAATGAAGATACAGGATTTATGCATAACCCACTGCATCAAAATATGGCTGGAGATGTGTGTTTCAAATGTGTGGGCTACTGAAAGCAATTCAGTGTGGACAGGCAGTATCCATACATGCATGCACATTCATTCCAATGCACATCTGGATATGCATCTGAGTCGTTCCTCTAGTTCTTGCTTAGGTTCATGGGTGGGTTGGGCTATGTGTGATTCTATATTACGGAGAGTTGGTAACAAGAGCTAAGCCAGCTGGGTATATTGTGTGCAGGTAAATATTGACTTAGTCACACATTTTGCCTTCAGTCATCAGATAACATCACACAGCACCCAAGAAGTTGCTCCTTTGGGGACTGAATAGTCTCGTTATTAATCTGTGCCTTGCCGCTAATTAATGCCATTTAAATAAGCTTCTGAGCACTAAGGGCAAGGGGGGGGAGAGAGATGATCCAGTTCTGACTTCACACAATTAGACACCCTCCTTCAATTATGCCTCCCAGACAGACTTTGATTCTCAGGATCCTCACAGCCTTTCAAATTCCCTAATCTATAATGAAGGAGACTGACGCCAGCTCCCAAAATGAGAATCATAATAAAAGGAGGGCAAAATTTGGGAGCACCCTCATTTATAAACTGTCTTATTATGCAAATATCTCCAAGGCATGGTACAATTTAAAGGAATCTGAACGCGCACTTTCACTGGGAGCAAAATTGGAAATCGTCTTAAAAGTTTAACACATTAAAAAATATTTAGTAAGGGCATTTCTTTAACTGTCTCCCGGCTAATTACTTTTAATAATTAACAGCCTATAAAAGAGACTAATTAACCTTGTATCCTACTATTATCAGCTGCTAATTGCCTTAATATTTTATTGCCAATAACCTCTAGGATAGCCATATTTCAATGATTTTAAAATAACACCACTGTGGTTTGGTTTGGGTTTTTTAACTTCTGACATAACAAATTTCATTATTCTTGCAGGAAAATGAGCTGTTCATATCCTTCTGCATTTCCCTTTTCCGATGTCATCAAGGCAGAGCAGGCTTAGCTTTTCTCTTCATGGTGCTGAATAACAGCACATGTTTTTCTCCATCTTTACAAAATCCCTTCACTGACTATTAGTGACTAACAAATGGATGAATGGAAGTTTGGCTAGAAATAATCTTTTGGTGACCATCCTCTGATAGTTTTTTGTTGTTGTTGTTTTGGTTTTTTGGTTTTTTGCACTTACCAAAAGCTCTCACACCAGTTGTCCCAGAGAGAGCTACTGTTTGTTCACCTCACAACTGTGGAGGAATCAGTTCTGTTGGTATAAGGCCTTTCATAGGGTCATCACCACAGATTGTCACAAACAGTGATTGTTTGCTGCAGTTTGGGTGGCTGGCACTGAAAAGTGTATGGCCGATTCTTCATGGCACAAGTCCCTTGACTGAATACATCATGCATGCTCTCCTTACAATCCCTAACATGGCACATGTCCCTATGTAGGTGTAACTCAAAGTAAACTCCACAGAGTTCAAGGGGACTTATTTCCAGATAAGTGTCCAGAAGACTGCAGCCTTGCTTGATGTTTTTGTGCGCATGTACACGATGTAAATATAATGTAAGGGGGATTCCATAACCAATCTGTGGCAGGTAGTATAAAAAACAGAGCCATATCTGGCTTCAGTCCTCAAGATTTGTTAAAAAATAAAATATTATGGAACTCGGATTTATGTGGAAGCACCCCCTTCTTATCCAGGGACCTTTTTTCCAATGCCTGATGTGGGGGGACTCTACATTTACTCAGTAATGAGAGAAATGCAGTTGTTCAGGGTCACTCTCATCTGCTCTTGCTGAATGCACTCCATAGTTAAGCCCTAGGTTACTCTGACTCTGAGTGAGCTCAGGCACAATTTAAGCCTCGCCTAGTTTATTATTAGAATGTTCAGACTCACCGCTGGCTTTTCTCACTAAACTTCTGCCTCTGTAATGCACTTGTGATTGTCTGTTCAGCATCCTGAGAAACACAAAATGAGACAGATTCTTTACTCGAAAAAAATTGGTTGATATAATATACATCCATGCAATTCACAGATGACTGATACAGATATATAATGTTTATTCATAGCTATTTGTTTACATATAGAACTTATAGATATTTATATATGTGACTTAATGATGCTGACATACATATACTGATGAAATGAGTGCCATATATATATGTCTATATATGTAAATGTTGGTGGTATCAGCTCTGCACATGGCACAGCTCGGGAATTCTAAGAAACCAAAAAAGTTTTGAACTCAGTGGTTAAAATCAGTGCAGTATTGGAAAGTTCAGGTTGCCATCTTGATTCAAAATGGCATCCAACTGTATCTAAACATAGAGAGAAATCTGTTTTCTTTGTTTTTTGTTTCAGGAAGTATCATGCTAGTTAAGCGTTGTCCAAATGCATAGTGGGCAGAAAATATATAGCAGACTTGTGAAAAGTACCCGGCCTGAAATTTATAAGTGGATAATGTAATTATCCTAGTGAGAAAGCACAGCATGGGCTGATTGAAAGCCCTTTAGAAAAAAGTCCCACACTGCTCTTTGTAGAGTCTGCCTGCCTCTCCTTCTTCCTGTCCAATGCCTCACCCCCTGACAAAACCCCAGATTGCTGCAGTGTAGTCTGGGATATTTCAGTCCACCATCCTGATTCAAAATGGCACCCAGTAGTGTCCAAACATGGGCCAAAACCCACTCCTCCATCTTGGGATCAGTCACACCAAACTATGATATCTCACGAGGTATTTGAACCCATAAAGAACAGACAGACAGATAAACCATTCTCCCAAACATTTAGTAGCCTTAGGGCAAGTACCTTTTCTAATGATGCAGTTTTTGATGTATTGAATGGATGTATTTGACTAAAAATGAATCAAACTTACTCCTATTTGTCTTTTAAGAAACTTGTTAGATGCCTGGAGCTTTGATGCTTCACCCTGTAAAAAATCATAAATGTGCACCTTCTTAAATGTCTTGCCATCTTTTTTGATCAGTAAAGACTGTAATATTTTGCTAAAGTCATAATCCTATAGAATCATAAGAATGTCAAATAGTAAAGAGCAGCACTACGAATTCAATATTGGACACCCCCCCCCCATTTTTAATACTTTCAAACCATTTTTTATACTTTCAAGCTTCCTGTAAGTTTGTCCAGAATCCCTTACACTTTTTTTAAAAAATCACCTTCCGGATTGTGGGGAGACGCTGCTAAGCTCTGACTGAGCTGGTATTAGCATCTTGCTTGGTATTGCACAAGAGGCGAATAAAATGTTGAGGGGCAGTTTGTCACTGTTCAAATAACATAACAGGAAGCTCATGTTTTCCACCTACATACATTGATATCTGCTCAGATATATGTAAAGTGTGTAAAAAACAAAACAAAAAGAGATGATCATCCCCTTTCCTTTGTCATGGATTCATTCACTGTTCCTAGCCATTGTTCCTTTTCTAGAATGCCCTGAAATATTGACACAGTTCATTTTGTTTGCGAGTTTCTCCCTCCAATGAGAAGATTGTAAACTTTTGCTTCACTTTTGCTTCTGATTTCAGCTAGCCACAGTTTAGCAGTACATCCAAACCCTAAGCTGTGGTTAACCTTAACCAAGGTACGCTTGGTAGGGCCACGGGAGAGGGCCTTCTTGGTGGCTGCTCCCAGACTTTGGCACTCCCTTCCAAGAAAAGTTATACTGGCTCTCTCCTTGTTATTTTCTGGCAGGTGAAGACTTTCTTGTTCAAACAGGCTTTTGGGAAGTGGCTGTTTCTTAAAGAAAGGACTGATGCTGTGCTGTTCTTATTTTAACAATCTGCATGTTTTAGTGGATGTGTGTGTGTTTAATTGCATACTCTCTGTTATGTACTGAAGTTCTCACCCTGGGCCAGCAGGGGGATACTGTAGATAGTTATGCAAATGAAGGATCGAAAGTGACGTTCAGTGATTGGATAGTTTGTATGCAAATGAAGGATCGAAAGTGACGTTCAGTGATTGGCTAGTTACAGAAAATGGTTACTGTTGCATTCTAGTGGAGCTCTATATAAGCAGGCCGACTGAGCTCCTCAGTTCAGTTCTGTTCCAGTTTATAAATAAAGAGCTGCTTTGGAAGAATCGCTGTGTCGTCTGATATGTTCGCCCACAACTTAACACTCTCCAACTTGTTGCTGCTGGAAATCAGGGTGTGTGTCTTCCCAGCTGTGCTCCTGTGTGAGTCAAATTGACCTGTGTGAGCTCACAGAGCTCCCAAACACATGTTTTCAGGCTAAACTTGCAAGATCACAACCTTGCACGGAATCACAGAGCCCAGAACATAAAACTAAGGCATACTACCTTCAACAGAATGGAACATGGTGATATCCCCACCTACCTTTTCATTATACCCTTGGGTCTTACCTCTAATTCTTTAACGGTCTTTTCTCGGATGTTGGCGATGCCAGCAACCGCCATCGTTTCCTTAATTTCTTTTTGCATTGCTTGGATTTCCTCCCATGTCGTGATAACTTGGCATCGCAAGGATGCAAGTAGCTCAGCGTTGGAAAGGACAGGAGTCTGTGCTTTGCACGCCTCCTCCCGTTCCTTTTCTGCAGGTGCAAAAACATGATGGTGGTTTGGAATGGAGCATTGCAGCTGCAACCTTGCAATCCAAAGGCAAAAGCCAAACAGGTTGAGGAGAGAAAAGGAGTGAAGTAGCTTTTCCTTCAGCAGGATGTCTCTCTCAGCAGCCTGACACTGTAGAGAACTACGGCACAATATTAGTCAAACTCAGAGTGCAACATTGGACAACGCCCACTGATTTTACAGTTCTTCTGTCCGATCCATAAAGCATCCAACACATCAGTCCCATTGTTCAAAGCAAAGCTACCACTCACCTGTCATTTTTTCATAAGACTGGCTCATCCACAGCTCCATTTCCAATTCATTTCTTAATCTGAAATGTAAAAGAAGGAAAACGAAGCCTCTAATGCATTCCAGTCCAGCAGTGGCAGTGTTTTAAGACTTGCACAATATACGCCAGACCCAAGCAAAAGTGGAAGAGCTGATCCTGTTGAATGTGTTTACATGAGGATTACTCCAAATGCAAGATGACTCCAAATGTGCACTGTGTGTTTGCTCACCCACCAGTTTATTAGCTGCATGAATGAAAGGCAGAAGCCCTTGGATAGCAATCAGATTCTCCTGATTGCCCTTTTCTCAAATATAAACAACAAGGGCCATATTCTCCAGTCATTTCCATGTTTACCTTTTGTGGGTATTTTATTTTGTGGGTGTCAGGCATAAGCCATAAGGCAGGATATCAGTGAATGAATGAATGACAAACAAAACAAAGGGGGGGGAAGCACTCCTTGCAAAGGTTGACGTTATTATAAGTGCACATCAAACTAGGTTGGCTTCACTCAGCCCTACAAATTGCAGGTGCTCATTTCTGGGGTTAGCAACATACATAGTTTTTCCCCAGTTCTATCGTATGGGACAATTTGTAAATCCACATGTACAGCTCTGAACATTTGTCAATGCCGGATAGTAAAGTGAGTTCCTTGATTCATCTGGGATGTGTCTACACAATCATTTTAAGAGCCCTACGAGATTTTAGTGCAGGCAACCAAGAAGTCTCCTTCAAGGTTTCAAAGTTACTTTTAATAATATACTGTTGATATCATTCTGAGGGCATGAATATTCATGGATATAACAGAGAAGCAGAAAGCATGACAGACTTTGTTCACATCCTGCTTTTACTGGGGAAAGGGCCAATAAGTTCCAGGACTTTTGGCAAGAGATTAAGCCTGCAAGTCCATAACATTGTTATTAGAGAACAAGTCCTGTTGAACTGAATGCAACTGGGAGTAAGTAATTTTGGAACCGCACTGCACAAATGTACTTAGATCCCATTGGCATGAATAGGGGTTAAGCTGCCTAAGTGTGTGCAGGCTTGGAGCCTAAGACACCACATATATTCACAGCCGAAAAATTTTGTTCTGTGCCAAGTGGATTATGATGTGATAAGTAAGAAAGTAAAACGGGTGAAACTTTTTGAGCCACAGAAGAAAGACAGAAACAGGAGAAACCACCAAAAACACCTCTCTGTCTGTACCAGTTACTTATTTCTGCCCCATTAATAGCATTATTGAAGGACAATAATGGAACATTCAGAAGGTGTGGAACTCTGGATATAAGCAAATCTGTCCATTTTTTGGTTTCTCTGTTTTTCATTTTTCCACCCTTAAATTCAGTTCTGCACATTTCCACATCAGTTTCTGATTATTTTTAATAATAAAAAGGTCCTCTTGAAAATTAAGCAGCATTTTCATGCAAATGTCTCCTCACATACACAACTCTATGTATTTTTGCCTAGCCATGGCCCCTTATTACATGTATTTTTATATGCTAGTTTCACCAATCCGTTTACCCTAGTATATGCATATTACAACACATTGTGTGGCTGAAGAACCACATCGCAAAATTCAGAGAAGTGCAAATTTCAAAAGTTGGCTGAGTTTTCTTCGCATCCTGTTTCAGAAAGTGCAGGTTGGGTATGTTCACCTGTAAGTGCCAATTGAATTACCTACCCACATCCCTGCAGGCCTATTCATTTGGCAAAATCTATGTCTAGGCCTTGGTGCTGTGCCTACCAAACCCACAAGAATATTGGCTACCCTGGTTAAGGCTCTGTGTGTGTGTGTTGTATAAACATTTCACACTTACACAACTTACTCTTCGTTTCTTGCTAAAGCCAGTCTGGATTTCTGCACAAGATCCTGTACCTCCTGCCTATTCTCTTCTATTTCATGAGTCATCGCTGCCCTCTTCTCCATGCCTTTGACTTCATTCTGCAAGGTCTATATTGTGGTGGAACGACAAAGACAGCCATTAGGACATTCCAGCAGGAGGGAAGCATAGCTGTGAGCAAAGCCGGTTTGCGCTATTTTTCTTAACTGGGGTGACAGAACATATCTTGAGTTTGTGTTTATGTGCATACATTTGACACACCATAGATTTAACACACACAAACTACTGAATCCTGGGAACTGTAGTTTTGCCCTTCTCTGAGCTACAATTCCCAGCAGCCCTTTTACAATTATGGTTATAAGAATTCGGGGAGGGGGCTACTTTAAATGTGTGGTGTGTACACTGCCTATGATTCATGTCGCTGCATAAAGGCCAATTACAAATACTGAGCAACATCAAGTACGGGACAACAATACACAGGCCAGATCCAAACTTACAGCAGAATGAGTAATCTGTAATCTGAACTACAGGTGAGGGATAGAATGCTCCCCTGTGTTAGAAACGTCCTAGAAGAAGAAAAATCTAACTCAGCTCTTTGCCTGCTTTTTATACACATTTAAGCACGAGGCAAAAACTTTCCTCCTCAAGCAGGACTTTGGCTGTTTGACATCCAATGCCCTTTCAAATATGCTGTGGAAAGGGGAAATTATTGGTTTGTTTCTGTTCTTATTTTTATTATGTATTATACACACACACACATACTGAAGTTAATGTTGTGAACCACTCTGAAATCTATGGGTACAGGGCGGTATACAAGTTTAATAAATAAAATAAATTAAGGTCATTCTACTGCAAGTGCTAAGGAGGCCTAATAGGGCACACACAGAAGGCTAGCCCAGCTATATCATTAGACGTAAGGGACGCTTGAGTTCTGTGCTGCCTGAAACTGGGGACACATGTTATGTGAAGTGTGGATGGCAGAAAGTGCCATCCATTACGTTTACAACAAAGGAGCACTGGGACAGGCCCAGACGGATTCATACATTGCATTATATTGAAAAACAAACAATGATTTTTTTTACTCTGTACTGCATTGTAGGGAGAGATTCCAGCAGGATCAGCATGTAGAGTTCATATTCAGTCTGTAAAGCCAAACAAGAAAGTTAGACAATCAGATATCTACATAGCTTAGAGATGGCACTTAGATATTCTTTGTTCCCACACAGTGATTTTGGAAAGGCAGGACATCTCACTCCTTCCTGATCTTCAAATACACTTACAATTTCCTATAAGATGCGAAAGAACTTGATAAACTAGTGGTCAACTGCAAAGGATACCCAGAGTTTTAGTTTGTACATTTTATTTGGGAACTACCACTTATTCTATGTGACGATGACTATTAGTATGTTAGGCAGCCCTCCTTGCCTTCCTGCACTTCAAGAAAAGCCCAGCTGATGAGGTCATGCGGTTTTCAGGAAGTGTGAGAATTCAGGGAGGCTGCAGAAGGCAGACCGCCCCAAATATTATTTATAGAATGAACGGGCACTCATGAAACTCATTGGCCAGATTGAAAGCAGGTTAAACACAATAAAAAAACCTGCAGCCACCAATGAGAATTTCACTGAAATTTTCCCTTTCCTTTGCTAATTCATAAATGCACTTTCTTTTTTCATAAATTGTCCAAAATTGGGCTTTCTTTTCTTTTCTTTTCTTTTTTCTTTTCTTTTAGAGAAGGGGGGGGCTTTCCAGCACATTTACTAGAGAAAACATGCACATCCTTCATAGCATAACTTTGTACAAATGTCCCTTTGTATCCTGTGTTGTGATTGAGAGGTTGTGTGAGCTACATAGAGCCACAATGACGTTGTTAACTAAGCAACTGTTAGTTGAAAATGAATTAGGTGTTAAAGGCATCACAGGTGCCAAAGCAAGCCGCCCGGTGCTCGGGATATCCCTTCTTAAATGTTAGGAACAGCACATACTTTCACTTCCTTCAGTATGTCACCAAATATCAAAGAACTGTTGCAGATATCTTCAAAAACGTCACCAACAGCCTGCAACCGGTTGAAATGAGGCCGGCTGCAGTCGCAGATATTCCGAAGCGCCTGGAAAGGAAGAGAAGGAAATTCATAAGGTTTATTCAGATCTGATCCCTTTGGCATGCAGGCCAAATATAAATTTCAGACAGTCAGATCCCAAGCACTTCCGAACCAGTTTCTCTTCCAAATAGGGAAGAGCTGTAAGCCCTATCACAGATGGTGTTTTGGTTCATAGAAAGGCAAGCAAGTTCCTGAAGAGAACATTTGTACAATTTATATCCTGTAGTATCCAAAGATCATGTTACTTCTTCCAGGAACCCAACTTCTCCCTTGCTGTGTATACTCCATGGTTGTTGTTCTTGTTGTTTTCTAAAAAAAAATACAACCAATAAAGTCCTTCATGCCCTGGGCAATACAAATTCAAAGCCAAGAAGGGCTGGATTCTGCTGCCTAAATTATGCAAACTGTTTCTTTGTATAATTTCTCAATTTTTGCAAACTTTTTTGGGAGTCAAGGGAGGGACAAAGTTGCTGGAATGTCAGTAAGAACACTAAACATCTCATTCAACCACCTATTCTGACTCCTTAGATGTTAGCAGACAGTGAATGTGTCCATAAGCCCCATGGCCCTGTCAGGATCAGGCATGGACTGGCAGGCTCAGGCTAAGGAGAAGAAAGCAGATGGAGGGGTGAATCATGGGAACTGGGGGTAGAGGTTCTTCCCCTTCTAGCCCTCCTGCTCAGTGGAGAGCCTCACTGGGGCTGAGGACAGTATTGATCACCCACCAAGGATGGCTGAGCCAGAGGAAGCAGAGGCTGAACAGGAGGGGAAGATGGAGCCTCACCACCAAGGACCAGACTCCACCTCTGTAGGTAGGAACAGACTCACCCACCCAGGTGATGTTTACTAACTCAGCCTTCTCATAAGGTGAGATACTCTTGCGGCTAAGTGTACCATGTCTCATCTTTGAAAGTTTTGCAGGAAGGGATTGGAAACTTATTGGGACATCTTCATTGCTTCTTTTCTGTTCTGAACTTCCTGCCTGGGCCCAGAACTCTTCACTCTGTCCTCGTGTTTTGGGTGAGAGTCAGGACAGATTGCCACAAGAGCTAGAAAGCAACTACTAGAATGCTTGTGGGAATTAGAATATAATTCATTGATACTATACCGGTTGTGTTGGCTACGTATTAGCTTCTGGGCACAATTTAAAGTGTTGTTTTTGGCCTTTAAAGCCCTGATCCACAGTCTGCGGCAGTTTTTGTCAGTTTACATTTCTTGGTACAGAAAGTATTGATCTGATGTGTAGAGATCTTTCCTATTCTAATTAATTCAAGAGGGTTCTGGAAGCTTCTCCGTGTGAAAGAAACAAGCAAAAGGTTCAGGATGTTTGGGTCACTCTTTCAGAGAAGCCAAGTACAGCTGGCTTAAACTGGTTCTGTTATCTTGTCTGTTAAGGTCATGATTATTATAATAGTAAGGTCAGAAGGAGCCTAGGTTTCACTTTCTCTTTCTATCTCTCCTTCTGGTGTGGTGCTCTGTATATAGTGTTAAGGTTTAGTCTTACTATAAGTTATTGTAAGTTTAAGTCAAGTCTGCAGCAATTGGACTTCTTATGGACAGTGCTGATCCGGAATGTATTGGGTTTGTGACCATTATGCTCATTTGCCTTTGGTAGCAGTAAAGCTCTGCTGGATAGTAATAATAATAAATAATATTTATTTATTTATACCCTGCCCCTCCTGGTTCTGAAAACCGGGCTCAGACAACAAATTTAACAACAAATTTAAAACACTTAATTGTGATACAACAAAAAAACAACATAAAATACAGTATAAAAGTGTGAATAACAATAAATTCAAAAATCAAAAATCAATTTAGGGAGAAATCCATCCAATAAACATTAGATGATCACTAGGGCTAGCTGGCTAAATTAGTCCTATGAAATACAATTGCCTCTGGTCTATTTTTGGGGAAACCTGCAAGATGTTTAAGTTTTTACTCTGCTAACTATACGTTGGAATCTGCTCTGGATCAATATTGAGCAGAATTTTGTGGCAGTTTTGGCATTTCCAGACAATCTAGTTAAACTGGGTTCCTACAAAGCTGCTGAAGGGTTAATTCAGAATTTGGGGGGACAGTGGGCTGCAGTAGTGGTTGGTGGTGCAGAGTGGGGTGGAGTGGCACTGCTCAAGACTGGCTTCCCAATGTGGAGATCACTGCTAGTAACCAAGAGGGGGAGAGTAGAGCAAGTGGTGGGGTCATTGTAGTGTGGAGAGAGCAGTAGGGTCTGTTCGTCACCTTTGTCCTCTTGGTTACCCTCAGCAACCTCCACCTTTGGAAGCCGGGTGAGCAGGGCCAACCCACTCCACCCTGCTCCACCAACCACTGCTGGTTAATTGAACCCATTCTAACAGATGACAGGTTTGAGAGCTTGAATACCCGGCTGAGGCCTAGTGATATTTCTCACTCTTCTAATAGACAACCAATTATCATCTCAAGATGAATACATGGCTTACCCACAACACTGACCCCCCCCCCACTTATCATTTTTCCAGAGTTTTACATGTGTTGGGAGCCTGTGTTCCTCTCTCATTCCACACTACCCTTTACTTACCTGAGCCAACGTCCTTTCATGGTGCTCTGCTGAATCGCTCCCAATAAAGTCATTCTTCAGCAAATCTTGCTTTGCGATCACATCCTTCTGAAACTGCATGAACTTGCGAAACTGGTCCGTTCTGGTCACACCAGCCAAGTAAGAAGGAAAGAATTGGTATTCATCTTTCGTCTCCTCCATGGCACAAAGCCGACTGTTGATTGTCGGTTTGTATTTCAACGTTCTCATCTCTGGAACCTCCAGCTCTTCCCTAATAAGTTGCTCTTGAAAAATGCCCAGTTCCTCCTTTGCCTCCTCAGCATCCTTCTTTCTTTGCTGTTTGAAAGATGTGGAATTGAGGGAAGTGCTCACTGGAGATCTGTAGCTGGCCTTGAATGCCCGAGGTTGAAAACATGACTGAGAAGCAGATTTGGCACGGGTGGGTGTGGGTGTTGAGTCCACAAAGCTGCTCAAGGTAGCTTGTGTCTTTCTGGATACCACACTGGGTGTTGTGAAATTGGTTCTTTTTGTGAGAATTAGTGCAGATTTTTGGCACTTTCCCAAAAGTTGTTCTTGATCCATTGCTGGGGCTTGTAAAGCTTGTCATGGTTCAGGTGGCCAGAGGTGTAAAGCTGAATGTCAGCTTTGTGGGCCTTTTCCATTCTGTCTAACAGGTCCTTGAGGCTGCTTTTTTGGTTCTCGCCTGCCATGAGGAATGTTCACCGCTGTGCATACAAACAGAATGGTCAAGTCAAGCACAAGAAAGTGAAACATTCATCTTGGTGTCTCTTGTCTTCCGTCAAGAGTTCTAGAAGTACTTTGGTTCACACTGGATATCTGGATGCAGTTGACCTAACCCCACCACACCATAATGCCTCTCCTTTAGGAAAATAGCACCGTTCCCAGCCAAAACAAACGCTCCCTTTATTTTGCACCTCTCTTCCCCAATTCATTCTCCAGAGGACTGTTTGTCACACTGGACTATATAGGCAGAAATGCAGTCAGAATGAGTGTGAGAAGAAAGGTTTTCGCTCACTGGCCAAACCTGTGCACAGAGTCTATGTACATAAAAACAAAAATGCAGAGTACAGGTTGCTTGCATATAAGTTGTACCCGTAGGATCTGTTGTACACATAGGATCCGTATACAGCTTTGTATGAACACAGACGTTTGAGATATGGCCAATGGTTGCCCCACTTTCCATGTGTTTATTCTATCTATATTGTCATCTGCAGAGAGCTATTGCATTTAGTGAATACATGTCATAAGAACCACATGAATGGTTTGTATATGTCCTTAAGCCTATCCTGCTAAGATGGCTATTTTACTAAGGACCAGTAGGCTGACATGCATCCAAATGCACTTTCAGGTGGTATAGCTAGATTGTTGTTATTATTCAAAGAAGGGCTACTTGAAAAAAGCAAAGACAAATGAATGCCTTTTGTTTAAATTTCAGACTAACATGCCAGCTATGCTACTCACATTTCTCAAGGTGTAGGGTGTTTGGGCAAAATGAAGAATCACTACTTGTGCTATGTGGGAAATAACATCCACCTTGGGAATGAAGGCTGGATCAAGTTATAGTATTTAATGGAAATGACAACAACAACAACAACAACAACAACAACAACTTTATTATTTATACCCCACACATCTGGCTGGGTTTCCCCAGCCACTTTGGACAGCTTCCAGCACATATAAAAGCATAATAAAATGTCAAACATTAAAATCTTCCCTGATGCAGGGCTGCCTTCAGATGTCTTCTAAAAGTCTTTATAGCCAGCCAAATCAGTGGGGTATAAATAATAAAAATATTATTACTTATTCTAAGTGGAAGGGTGGGGATGTGTACCCATCATATCCTTTAGTCAGCCTGCTAGATCCCTAAATAGCACCCACTGTCTGGTACAGGGTCTGCCTGCCCATCCTGTGTGTTGTGGCTTGAAGTGTTCCACAGTGGAAAGACCAAAGTTCCTTTTCTGCTTAGATCATTATCTCCATTGCCTCCAGACACTGCATAGATGATACTTTCCCTCTTGGCCAAGGATTGGTTGAGAAATTACAAAGCTATGACAAATTGAAACATAAAGTACAAAACTGGCTTCAATATTACCAAATAATGGAGCTTTTCAAACAGGACAGGAAAATTGGCTTTCAGGTGGAAAAATCAAAACTAGAGATTGAACTGCTAGAACCCAATACTAAGAATTTATCAAGAATGTATAACTTGTTGTTGAAATGGAATACACAGGATGAAACGGTGAAATCAGCTATGATTAAATGGGCACAAGATATTGGTCATGACATTATGCTTGCTGACTGGGAACAGTTATGGACCACCGGTGTTAAGTTTACGGCATGTAATGCCTTAAGAGAAAACATAATGAAAATGATTTACAGGTGGTACATGACCCCAGCCAAGCTTGCAAAAATTTACCATTTGCCCGATAACAAATGTTGGAAATGTAAAGAGACTGAAGGTACCTTCTATCACCTTTGGTGGACATGCCCGAAGATTAAGGCTTTCTGGGAAATGATCTATAATGAAATGAAAAAGGTACTTAAAAGTACCTTCTCTAAAAAACCAGAGGCCTTTCTCTTGGGCATTGTCGGCCAATTGGTGCCAAAGAGGGATAGAACTTTTTTTATGTACGCTACAACAGCAGCAAGAATACTTATCGCAAAGTATTGGAAGACACAAGATTTACCCACTCTGGAAGAATGGCAGATGAAAATGATGGACTATATGTCATTGGCTGAGATGACAGGCAGAATACGTGACCAAGGAAAAGAGACGGCGGAAGAAGAATGGAGAAAATTTAAAAGTTATCTTAAGGACTATTATAAACTTGATGAATGTTAGAATGTTATGGTTTTCAGAAACAAAGGGATACAGTGATATAAGGTCAGATTATAGAGATAACTAAGGACAGAGGTTGGAAAGTAATATTGGGAGTTGCTATAAAACTATGGACATTGGGATGCAGAAAGGGGGGTATGGGGGAGTCTGAGAAAAGAGGGTTATGAGAAACAATATGAAATTATGCGTGTTTGTATGTTTTTTGTTTTTGTTTTTGTGTTGTTGTTTTTTTTGTTTAAGTGTCTGTTTGTCTTTAAAATTTTGTAAAACCAATAAAAAAATTTTTAAAAAAAGAAAGCAGCAGAGGTTCAAAACATAGCAAAACACTACACATTTATTGCTTGGGTCATCTTGTAAGAAATTACCTTAAAATACACCAGCATGGCTAAGTGCAAGAAACTTATTTTTTTAATTTAAATATAATGGAAGAAAAATAAATTAACAAGTAGCAGTCTTTCAAGAAATTCCAACTTCAAGTAAGCAAGATACGTGTTGTTGTTTTTTTGTGGCATCTTGCTTTTACTGTTTACTCATTCAACACAATTCCTTACTTGTTCAAAACGGGGGGGGGGGGACTCCCAACAATTACTCTAACAAACCCGATTACTAAAATGCATTTAAACTGCGCACTAACTTACATTTCACAAACTCCACAAAGTATAAGACGTTAACTGCTGCTTTTATGCTGGTTCGTTCCCAAGGAAACCAGTCTAACATTCCAAGTTCTATTTAAACTGCCTGTGCTTGTTAAACAACAATGCATGTGTGACCAGGCCTGATCAGCAGCAAAATCCCAGTTCCTGGATATTCCACGAGATAATCTCTATTTGCAACAGAGGATATTTCAACTTCTTAATGGTGAGTCCAACTTCTTTGTTTGAAAGGATAGCTGGTTGAAAAGTGTTGAATATAGCAAACTTTCCAAGATAGGATTGCCTGCGGTAGTTTTTTCAAGTTCTGAATTCATAATATACAATATGTGTGCATCAAACACAGTAACTTTAAGGTGTGGTGCAAAGTAAGGTAGAGATGAATGAGAGGCAGGATGGTGGTCAAAAGAGCCAAAAAATGCCACAGCAGCAGAAAGAAGAGTTTCCAAGCTGCTTATATTGTTACGATCAACAATCAGAACAAAACTAATGCTGGATTTTTTGAAAACACAAAAATGCTTCTGTGCGCTTAACATCATACAGCAGTCCTCTCAAATTAGCAAGAAAAGTGAGTTCGATTATGCACCCTTATTGAACTATTTATGCAGCTCCCCCTATAATAGATACATAGAGAGGGAGACTACACAAACTGAGCAGAGGTTTCTGTTCCCACTTCTCCCCAGAAATTGTAATAAAAATGAACACAAGATGCTTTTTTAAAAAAAATCTCTGTATTCAGTAATATTCACAACATGTATATATGTATATGTCTGTATAATTCAATTAAAATTATGAACAATTCTAAATATTTAATGTATCATACATATATTTATATGTATAATTACATATCCACAGAAGATGCCTTGCTGCATTACAGCCAGCTGTTAAAGCAGAAATAGGATTCACTATAGGACTCCAGATATGCATATGTTCTGGCTGTTTGGTTTTGCAGACTTATTTACAACTTATCTAGACCATAATAAACCATTTATGTTCTATTGTACAAACATAATTGTAAAGATTTGAGATCGTTTAAATACAAAGACTGCAAATGAATACATGAAAATATTACATACCATATACAGTATTTATAATTCATAGATGCAAAGTTAAGACCTATTTAAATTATTGCACTTGCATATTTTTTACAAAGTTTCCTCAGCATTATACATAACATCCCACCTGAACTCCTTAGATATAATAAAATTGGATAGTGTTGCCTCTGAAGTTTTTTTTCTTCCCAGAACCCACCAGAACCTGGAAATACATGGATCTAAATCTACAAACCAGTTACGTTATTAATGTATGGAATAAAAGGTAAAGGTAAAGGTACCCCTGACCATTAGGTCCAGTTGCGGATGACTGGGGTTGCGGCACTCATCTCGCTTGATTGGCCGGGTCATGTGGCCAGCATGACTAAGCCGCTTCTAGCGAACCAGAGCAGCGTGCGGAAACGCCGTTTACCTTCCCTCCGGAGCGGTACCTATTTATCTACGTGCACTTTGACGTACTTTCGAACTGCTAGGTGGGCAGGAGCAGGAATTGAGCAACGGGAGCTCACCCCATTGTGGGGATTTGAACCACCAACCTTCTGATCGGCAAGCCCTAGGCTCTGTGGTCTAACCCACAGCGCCACCCGTACCCAATGTATGGAATACACTCCCATATTACAATCAAGCACAGTTTTTTGGTCAGCAAACAATGAAAATTACTCTGGTGTGCCTTTGATTGGTTATATTAGAACTATATTCTGTGTCTCCTAATGCCAATTTAGAGAGAATGAACTGTTGTCCTCAGAACAAACGTAGTTGCCTTATACATTGCACAACATGGGGACTTCATCACAGTGCTTTTAAAACTTGCCAGAACCACATGGAGCCTTACAGGTCATCTACTTTTTTATGAAAACAAATGCCTTACATATTCTATATAGCTTTAGCACTGACTGAGCAAGTGACTTGCCGACCCGTTGACACAAACCAGAGAATACAGAATTTTGTCAAATTATGTGCTTCACAATCGACTCCATTGGCACAACCGCTGTGCTCCCCCAGCGTCAACCATGTAAGCTGCAGTGACATTGGTGTGGGGAGGGGCAGCTCCTCAGCCCTGCCCCATTATGTCATCCACTGCACCATCCATTTGCATTTGTGGCCTCTGTAACCCTTTTCCCTCTAACTTCTTCCACAAAAGGTTAACAGCTTGCGGCCTCTTTCAACTTTTATTTAGGCGAAATGATTCAGGGTGGCTCCAAATGTGACACAAATGACAAGCAAGCATCTACTTGCAGGCTGAAGTTTGGACTGGGACAATGCCTTGTGACCCAAAAACACGCCTACTTGCAACAAAATCCCAGGAGATGGAAGGCTATGTATGTACTTAATATAAGCATGTAAATTTTACACTGTAAAAAGATAGCAGTTATGTAATACTGCCAAGAACATTAAATGACTTCAATCTACCTAACTTCTGAGACTCTTTTATATTGTAAAAGGGAATACAACTCAATTCTGGTTGAAAGTTGCTGTGGAGGAAGGGATAGAACATAAAAGGATAGATATATGTATATATACCTAAACCATAAGTTAAAAAATTTCAGTGCCAATGGCAGACAAGAGTAAAGTGCATCTGCTGATCATCTGCAGGCAGCCTGCGATTCTGCCATCCATGGAATCACTGCGTATGTGAGTGCAACCTATTTCAATAATAATAATAATAATAATAATAATAATAATAATAATTTATTAAATTTGTATACTGCTCTTCATCCGTAGATCTCAGGGCAGTTCACAACTTAAAAATAAAGGGGGAAAACACAAAATACGTAATAGACATGAACAAAAACAAACCAATAACCCCCCCTTTCAAATGTGAGTCATCATTATGGAAATAGGTTGCCCTCACTTGCAGCTGGTTTGTGTAGTGCCCACACATACCAAACAACTCCTAACATGGTCATCGGGTGCATAGATATCAAGCTGCACCATATGTACCATTGCCACTACAGTGTGAACCAGCCTGAAGTCTGAATATTTGGCAATTAAAAAAAATTAAAATATCACATATCTGGAACTGTTTCTTGCATTACTAACTCTGTCATTTTTCTAGGGTGTGTGCGTGCATACTGTGCATAGGAATGCTTTGCATTAATCAGAAAAAATATATAAGACATACATAGACACATAAATGCAGTTGTCCAAATGAACAAAATCTGATCATATTAGGTTATGCTCGTTCTTTCTTTAACAGGGACTCGGTTCTGCTGGGCAGCAATGCCCATATATGACTATAAGAATGATTAAAGTGAATCAGCAGAAGACCTTTACCCTTAGGGCAGTGAAGTCAACTGGATCCATTCAACAAACTGGGTTTTTAAAAAGACCTGCCAAAGCACAGATTTAAATCTAAATGTTTTGTGTAAGACAAAGGCTCAAACATATTTCTGCAATTATATTTCTGACCAGATAGTGCACATTTACATACAAACTTGTAACAGTATTTGCTGTTAAGGCAAATCTTTTTGGAGACCCATTTGATTGGGGGGGAAAAGATAAATATTTTTGGGCTAATGCAGCATTGTGAACAATGTACTGACAGTACAGTCTGTACAAAATGTTGAACAACAATGAAAAAGTCAGCACTGTCTATTAGTCAGATAAAACTAACAGATATTATGCTAAAGCAACATTGCCTCAAATCTACCATAGGATCTATGTATGTGAACTGTAAAAAGAGTAGTTTATTCTGCACAGGGCATTGGTGAGAACGAAGTCTGCTTCTAACAGTCCTCCATAATGGCAAGGGTTCACTCTTACTGATTGTGCTATATTTAAAGTTTTGCACCAGCAACAGCAGCAACAAAAAAGTACTTCGAACATTGTAGCATGTGATTCTATTGTCAAGTAATGAACTTGGCACACCAGTTCTTTTCAGGGTTATTAGACCATCTCACAGATATCAACCTGCATAAAGATATTCTCACAGTACCTTTCATTTCATTGTCACACTGTTGAGGATACATCTAAGCAGCAATAGAAAAAGCACTAGTAAAGTGTCCCCTACAGCTTCTTCACATGCATGTCTTAAATCAGGGGCGGTGACTCTTGAGAGCTGCATTTCCTGTTGGCCATGCCTAGAAGGGTTGCATTGCAGTGGTGCACATGGCCACAAAAGTAAGCAGGCCAACATGGACATGGCCATTCCACAGTCACACACACACCCCACACAGCATGTGATTTGTGCAGATCAGGCCTATACGTGGTGGACATTTTATGTACAGTCATTTAAATGTTACATACAGTACATAAATGGCAGCCAGGCCCATAGGAAAGTGCAATCTTGCTCCCTCACCACTCATAGACTTTACACACCTGGGAGATTTGAGAGAACAGTGTAAGATAAAGGGAAAAGAAAAGGATATACTAGCTCAAAATTCATTCAAGTTAACAACAGAACTTGCTGAGGTCAGAGGAGTGAGGATTAGACTCAATGGCTTATTTATACATCCTACATGCCTATTAAGGTTAAAATGTTTGCACTAGGTCTGAAACTCAATTCTGCAAAGAAGTATACACTGACTTCACATAATGTAATTATTTGCAGAATAGGGGCCCAAGTTAGTACAGACCTTCATTCACAGTATTCAAGTGCAAGGGTTTCCAAATCACTCTCTGGTTAAGAAGGCAACCTGCTTACAATACTAAGGAGGGTGTTTTTTGTTTTTGTTTTTTGTTTTGTTTTTTAAAAGCTCTCTGTTGTTTGGGAATTCAAATGGAAGGGCAGAACAGAACGCACACAGTTCAAGTGAGCAACACAAAACCTAGCTTCATTTACTGTGATGGTACCATGAAAACTTTTGTCTGGAAGGTCCTGTTTTTTTGTGGATTAGTTGGGATTTGGAGACTTGTCTCTAATACTTGCTAAAATATAAATTTAAATACCTGGCAGATTTCTGTTGCCAAATTTGAAATTTAAGCCCATTACTCTTACTAACGTTGACAGGAAGGCCTCTTAGGACCTTACAGGACAACTACATCTCTACTTATCAGAGGCACATATTCTATTATTTCCATTGTAAAAATGGGCACATATTGTAGCTGCTGAAATCGCTTTGAAGAACCATAGGTCACACCCAGGGCTTTTTTTCAGGGAATGCACAGGAACCCAGTTCCAGCACCTCTCAAGTGGGCACATTGCCATCATAAGGGAACATGGGAGGTGTCCATGGTAAGCTCTGGCACCTCTTTTTCTAGAAAAATAGCACTGGTTATACCTTTCAAATGTTTAACATGTTTGCAGTAGAGCAGTGTTCCATGATGTAAACAGAATAATTTCTGGAGTCTTCTATCTGGATGTTAAATTCCTCCTCCCCCCACACATGCAGCAAGATTAATTCAAGTACTGTAAACTCAAAGATAGTTTCAGTCCCAGATATTTTCTGGTAGCGTCTGAGCTGATTGCACAGAGATCAAACATAAACATTTACAATAACAATGTGGAAATGTCCTATGTATAGCCAAGAACTCCCCAAGTGAAACTGGCATTAAAGCCAGCCACAGTATAGTGTTGTAAGTACCACTGAAAATCTCTGCTACAAAGACAAAATGCAAAAGCAACACCCAAGATTTGCCTTCCTTGCCCAACAATTTTAAATTAAGGCCTCAGCAAAGTAGCCCATGAGAAAAAGGCAGTCTTATATTTACAAGCCAAGCATTTGCTTTGATAGCTGATTCTGCAATAGTTGAGTTGTCCATCAGTCTCTCTGTACACACTGGATCAGCAAAGAAAAGAAAGGTGCACAAGTCTTCCCAGTTAGAATTTGCAGTATTTATCCTTTTAAAAGCCTTAAAAGGTGGTGGGAGTCTCAAAGAAATTTTAAAATGTGAATCAGTCTGTAATTTCCACAGGTAGCACATCTGTCGAAGGGCTATTTGTCTGTGCTGGCATCCATCCATATGCTTCTTCTCCTCGTATCACTTTTTCCCATTGTTTAAGATTTTCCCTGGAGAGGCAAAAAGAGCCAACATTCAACATAAAATTACTTTATTTCCAAAATAAGATATCTATGGTATACAAAAGTCAGCAACAATAATATTTTATAGGGCTTGATCTCTAGTAGGCCCTTTGATTTTTGTCAAACTTCAGAAGGAGACTCCGGAATGAAACCACTCAGTTACAATTTACTGAGAAGTTCAAATCTGTCGCCTTCGGCCTGAATGGGCTTCTGTCTCATGTAAGTACTAATTAGGTTACTAATACCTGGGTGTATGGGGTGTTAGGGGAGGGAACATGTTGTGCTCCTTCTGGGGTAGTTTGTGCACCTTTGGTCCCTACCCTGCACTCAGCTCTCACTTGTGGCTTCTAGAAGCCATCAGCATGCAACAGTGGCTACACCCCAGGAATGGCTTCAACTGGCCAGCTAAACCAGGTAAGGGTGGTTGATGGGTCTCAAATCATCAGTGAGTTAGGGACTTCCCCTGCATGCAAAGGCAGGCTCTGGCTGATTGAATGGATGAGACCAATAGTGGGTCCAGCGGTTAAGAAGGCAGTGCTCTAGAGGGAAATGAGGGGTAGATAGGACTCGACAACATAGGAAGGTAGCCCATCTAGGAGAAGGAAAACTCTGATATTAAACCTCCACTGCTTTTTGGGATACTTTCAGGAGAAGAAAAGGCTAAAGAGCAAACACTACACAAATCCAGAGTGAAGTCCCTAAGACTGAACAGAACCCATCATTGCCTTTCACTCACCTTATTTTCCAAGAATAATTAATTTAAATGTTTTATTTTCCATCTCTCTTAAATATGTTTTCCCCCCTACACCACGTACAGAGAGTCCTGCTAATCAAATTAATGAGTAAGCTATCACATGCTGGGAAATCAAACTGCAATTTAACTGGGGAATCAAGTTGGAATTTAGCTATCAGTCTGTTTGTCGTGTTAGATATCTGCCTGCGGAAAAGTGAGTGTTTTTGCTGATTGCACTGAGTGATACTGCTTGATTGCCGGCTGAGTGCATACAGCTGGAACATGGCTCAGAGCATGACTCACTGTAACAGCAACTCTGGCACATGTGGTGGTGGTGTCACTAAAGGGTATTTACCTTTAGGTTGCTAGTTTAGGGAGGCACGTTTAAGTAAAATCATGCACATTTGAAGCACAATTGAAAAAGCCTGCAAACACCGTGTTACGCCCTTGCCCTGCCTCTTTTTGTGATGTTTTCGTGTCACTTCTGTCTTTGGTGTGATGCACATATGCATGGTCATGCACATATTGGACACGCCTTAAACTGTTGCTGCCTGTCATAGTGAAATTAGCATATTATTCCTGCTGGGGTGGAAGCATTTCAGCCCTGCCACTCTTCTAGAAGTTACTGGCAACTTATGCGTTGAGTCCTCTGTTTTGGTGCTGCTGCTACTGAATGCCAGATCAATGCACAATAAGACCATGCACATCCACAACTTGTTCATGAATGAAGAGGCTGACCTGACATATATATTACCAAAACTTAGATGGATGAGGTGGGTGGGCCTGACCTGGGTGCTTGGTACTACACCAGGATAGATCAGAGGGTCATGAGGTGTATGTTGGCAAACTGCTCTGTGAAACACCTATTCCCCTCTGTTAAATGCAGCTGCAGCGAGGTTTAAGAGAAAGGGGAGGCTCTTTGGAAAATCACCCTCTGAAGCAGCTTCCTCCTTTAAAAGAGGGCAGGATTGGAGTGAGCTGTAAGTTTGTGTGTGTGTGTGTGTGTGTGTGTGTGTGTGTGTGTGTGTGTCAAGGGAGGGGGCTGGCCAAGTGTGAGTGAGGGGAATTGGCAAAGACCTTGGCAGGTAGGCAGGGTTGGTGAGAGGAGTAAGCAGGGCTTACAGCCCCAAGTACAACTATATTATTATAATTTAATGAACTGTATAATCCAAACACACACAAAAATAAAGAAGTTACAGGGAAATGCAAGAAAAAAAGAACAAAAAGTCAACTATGGAACATCTCCAAATCCTCTTTATTTTTGAAAGGCAAGTTAGGCTGAGAAGTGTGACTTGTCTGGTGAAGGCATTTAACTTAAGACATGTAATCAGTACACCTACCAAACATATGGAAAAGTTTGACATTAACTGAGTAAGGTCTGGGCTGAGATGGCAGTGATGGCAATATTTATTTTTTGATTAAGCTATTTTTTTACTCCACCTTTCCATAACATGTCTGAGGCAGCGAACCACACCCAAAACCAATGAAACAATACAGCAATAAGGATATCAATGCAGAAGCACAAATCACTAAAATATTCTTTTTAAAAAATCAATTAAAACAGACCAGCAAAAAGTAAGAAGGAATTCTCCACAAACAACTTCAAAATCTAAATCCAAGAGGGTCACAATGACTTCTTATAGCCCAAAAGCTTTCTAAAACAAAAAGGTCTTAACACTCACACAAGACCATCAGAGAGGGAGCAAGGGAGCCTCTTGCCCTAGGCAGTGTGTTCCTGAGACTAGACCTAAGCAGATCAGGCCATCTCCCTAGTTCCATCCTTAGATGCTGGTGGGACACACAAGAAAACCTCCATGCTTATTTATCTGCTTAAAACATGGATATGCTCGCCACATTTGATGGGTTCTATGTTTGTTTATTTAGAAGATTTATAAACTATTTGCCCAAAGAGTGGTGTACAAGTAAACTTGTAAATAAAACACGATGGTTGATACTGCTGGCCAGTTCTCTTGTGCCTCCATCGATTCCATATTCCCTTTAAGTAGCAAATCATTCTTAATATGCCTATAGCTTGTCTATTTGGGTTTGAAGGATAAAACCACCATGAGGCATAGGACAAAGCATTAATAAAGTCAGAAGTGGTTTCCGTGGTGGGGCAGAACAGCAACACTAACTTCTCAGGAGGGAAAAGGGAGGGTAAGGTAGAGGGAAGGTCAGTGTTGTGCAGGCAAACTGGCAGAGCCAATCTGGTATTCCTGCAGAAGCACCCACACTGACTTCCCCCATGACTGCACCTCTCCCTCCCAGTAAGCAGCTGTGACGTACCTGCCAGGAAGCTTGTGTTGAGGGCCCATCTCATCTACTGAGCTGCTTCTGCATCAAGTCAAAGATCTGCACATGCACTACAATTACTCAGTTCTAGACGGTATCTAGTTAACACCAGGGAGGACTGGCTACCTCTCCCCCAGTCAACTTTTGTACTTCAGAAAGAATATCTAGATAGCATGTACAGTGGTCTGCAGCTGGAAAAAGGATTCTGTGCAAACTTTTATAGCTTACTTGCAAGCTCGAAGTAGTGGCAGAGTGGAAGGGAGGATCTGTGAGAGGGTGTTATAGCAGGGCAAGGCTACAGCATTGAAGAACCCAATCTGGAAAAAAAAAATCAAATAGAACAGAATAAAAATCAACATAAGCTGTATTAAGCAAATTGGAAAGGTGTTGTAACAAATTTACTTGGCAGGAAAATTGTCTGGATATTTGTTATTAGCAATACCAGTCTTATAAATGGGGGGGGGCCTAGAGTAACTACTCATGGGTATGTTAACAAGCTTGCTACTAAGATTAGTAGAAAAACAGAGCTCAAGTAAGTACAGCAGTTGTACAACTTCTGAAGCCTGAACTGAAAGTGATTCAAAAATCTGAACCTTAAAAGAGAATGTCCAGTGTTCTAACACTCTTTTAGCCTTGTATATGGTTATCTGTCCATGTATTGACTCTGTCCATCTAACTCAGTATTTTCTACTCTTACTGACAGTGATTTCTCTAGGCTTTTGGATACAGAGAGGTCATTCCTAGCACTCTTATCTGAGATAATTTTAACAAAAGAGGCTGGGGACTGAATCAGTGACCTTCTGAATGCAAAAGAAGAGCCCTTAGTTTGGCCGACCCTTCCCTATTCTCATAGGTTGGCACCAGACCTATTTTTTTCAGTATTTCCAGCTTCCAGCTTAAAACCATCTTTATATTTCCTACTAGGGTTTGTCACAAAGTCAACAGAAGATAAGCAAGTAAGTAATTTCCTTGGGTTTTTTGTTCTGGGTTTTGGGGGAGAGGGGAGATGACTCACCCACAAACTAATGACCAGACTTCCATAGAATTCCAGCCATCTTTAAGTACCTGCTTATTACAATAAGCTTTGGCAGCCCCTTCTAGTTTTGTTGGCTTCGCTCTAACATTGCCAGATTCTCCGATTTCCTCATTCCACACCATGCCAGAGGATCCCTCAAGCCCCAGAAGCAGCTTTTTGAGAGGTCAAACATTTTTACACCTACTTGGCCCTGAGGAATTTCATCTTTCTTGTCTCTGTCCATCATAGGAATAGGTTGAATACCTAACTTCTTCAATTCATCACCCTAAAATAAAGTGCAAGACCAAAGAATGGGTTATTCCAGGTTATTTGGTCCAAAAATGTTTCTCATGTATATACAAACAGGTATTTAGAACTCAATATATTAATATCAGTGGCTTGGGATTAAGAAAAACAACTGAAGGAAATGATTTTTCAGCACAGAAAATCACAGCTGGATCAGACCAAGGAGAAATCTAGTCCAGCCAGTTAGGTTATCTCCAGAAAGCCCACAAGCAAGGCAAGAAAGCAATAGCCCCTCCTATGTAGTCATCCTGCCCACCACCCAGTCCAGTCACACCCTGGAGTTTTTATTCAGGGCCATATTGACCCTGAATTTGACGTTACCCATATCAAACAGCTACTGTGGCCAATATCTGCTGACAGTCCTGTCCTTCATGAATGTTGAACCTGATAGATGGGCTCAAATGTACCTTGACAGCACTGGGGTGGTGGGAGAGGGAATTTTTGTGTGAGAAACAGAGTCTCTGCAACTCCCATGTCCCACAAAAATCAAACAGGAAGAAAAATCTCCATGTCCCAATGCGAAGACATAGTTCTCACAGATTCTCACAAATTGCCAGGGGTGGCTGATATGGATGAGTGGTCTTCCATATTCTACAAACTCTAGATCTCAGTGAGGAAGGTACTAGTCTCATCTTGTCCCTGAGCTGTGAGTATTGTATATGTAGGAAGCTTTTCTGTGAGGAGAAGCATTCAAACGTGTGCCTCCACCTGCAATCTGCAGTGGTACATACAGGCTCTTTGTTTGCAAGAACTAGGCTTAAAACAGCTGCTTTAATTCTTTCCAAATAGCTGTGTGTGGGTGAGGCCAAAAAAAAACAGCGGTCTGGGTGTTCCCTTGGATTCAGCTTTCTCACTAATGGCCCAGGTGACCTCTGTAGCAGGGAATACCTTTCCTCAGCTTCAGCTGGTGCAAAAGCTGAGGCTGTCCCTGGACCAAGGTAACTTGACCACAGTAGTCCAGGGAGTGGTAACTTCAAGACTGGATTCCTGAAAATAAACTCTGTGGGGAGCTTCCCTTGCTCTTGGTTTGGAAGCTGCTGTTAGTGCAGAATGCTACAGCATGATTACTGACAGGAGTGGGATTAAGTCAGCATTATACCTTTACTCAAAGATCTACCCTGACTGCTGATTCACTAGTAAGCCAGATTCAAAGTTTTACTATATAATATATAAAGCCATAAGGTTGCTTTGCTTCCTATGTGTCTCTTCGAACACCCACTCTATGGAACTTGCACCACATATGTAATAAGTATTTCAGTGTGAGAGCTCCTGTGCTTTGCTGCTCCCTGCCTATAGCAGTAGACAGGTACCCTTGTTGTACTGTTCCATACCCCTGCTAAAAACCTTTCTGTTCAAGGAAGTCCATCAGGACATTCAATCTTAGCCCCATGTATTTCTCTATAAATTTTGATGCTTTTAATGATAATTGTTTTATATTGTTATTGCACTTCTCTTTGGGGTTGTTGTTGTTGTTTTTAAAAAAATATTATTAAAGTGGGTTTATAATAATCCACTGCATTTTTTTTTTTAAGCTGAGAAAAGGGTGGAGGAGGGAATAAAACCCCCAGTGTGAGCCCAGCAATGCTTTGGATTCTGTGGTTTGTCCACTCCAACTCCTCCCTTCCACAACTTGGTAGAATTGCTCTGTGAAACAGAAGTACTTGATGCCTCCAATAAAATTAGGTTTAATGATGCACATGCCTACCGGTGCATATGCCAACATATAAACAATAAAATGCACGTACCTCCGCCCAAAATTCTGCATATATATCGCTGGCTGTCGTTCTGGTAACATGCCACAATTTTGTCACAGAACATAAGTCACAAGCTGTCATCATCAGCCCAATCACACGATCCCTAGAATAGAACAACTGGAAAGCTATTGTGCATTTTAAAGAGGTAACATTTGCTATTTTGTTTAAAAATATATTCTTATATTTATGTAGCAGCAGTTAAAATTGCTACGGAAATAACTTAAGTTTGATGTTCAGATTAATATTAATCTGATTAATATTCAGATGTTGCAGGACTCTAAATCCCCGCAGCCTCAGCCAGTCTGGCTAATGGTCAAAATCAGGCATAGGCAAACTCGGCCCTCCAGATGTTTTGGGACTACAATTCCCATCATCCCTGACCACTGGTCCTGTTAGCTAGGGATGATGGGAGTTGTAGTCCCAAAACATCTGGAGGGCCGGGTTTGCCTATGCCTGGTCAAAATGATGGGTGTTGTAGTCCAGAAACATATGTAAATACACAGGTTCCCAAACCCTGCTGTAACCTTTCACAGATCTCATTTTTAAAACTTTCTTAAGAAAAGTGGCAGAGTTACGCATTCAAGTTTTGATTATCTATTTGTCTGTGTAAGGCATGTCACAGAGTAGCTCAGATTTTGTTTCTGCAACTATACTTCTATAAACAAGTTCATGTAAGATTTCATGCTTAAAGGCACTGCACAACATATGCTAACAGTTTGACTCTTCTAATGATTCCTTTATTTTTGAAGATTTATATGGACATCAATACACAGTAAACCAAACCTTTAAAGCAAATTAAAACTATGGACGCTGCTAAAACAACATGACTTAAAAGTGAATTATAAATATTCATTTGCTCTTTACCTATGTGCTTGATTTTTAAGATTTAGTGATCTTGACTGGTGCAACTCTTCCAAATGTTTCCTGTTTCCAAAGTACAGCGCAAGGTCTGTAGCAATGATGGCTTTGCGGATTATTTCCAGCACCTGCTCATACTCACTAGAGCTCAAATTAGAGAAGATATTGTGGCCTTCCAGCTATGAAAACAGAATTTTTAAAATGAACAAGCTAATATATTATTTTGAACTATTTTAAACCATTGTTTTAGAACTGTCTTTTAAACTCGATTCACATTCAAACATACAGCACTGCTGTATGTAACACAAGATTCTGACAACACCCACAAAAGGCACTGGACTGGATCCAAACCTCGTCATGCTTAAAGTATTACTAACAATCTAAGCATTATGAAGTCGGATACAGCATTTCAAAGCTTAGTTAGGCACACTAACTTTTCAAAAACAATTTCGGGGAAGAGAAACCAACAGAAACCAACCTCGTTTACATGTAATGCTAAGCCAAACTATGGCTAAATGTAAATGAGCAAGAGGTCAGGTGCATAGAATGAAAATCAGGGCCACTTTGCTCCTCCCTAGTTCTACTACATCTGTGCTACCCAGAGCTAAGACATGGTTTGTCTCCCCAAAATAAGTGATACGCTGAGAACAAGCCTTGGCTAGAGCTTGCAGCTTGTTTGGAGCAAGACAAACTACAAGCCTGGGTACACATATAACACTAAGTCAAATCATGGTTCACTTCCAGGTAGCATGGCTGGACCAGAGAGGAGCAAAAAGACTGTGATTTCCACTCTTTGTACTGACATATTGTACTTGCTTGTTAATGTTAATATATTGTTTGGCTGAGCCTTATGTGCAAACCACACCTTTTCCAAGTTGAAACTATGAATTACAAGAAACAGAGATGCCACCAAATAACCCATGCTGTAACATCAGGATGCTGTCTTTTCTTGCTCTACATCATTGGCTGGTGTTTATGGGGCAGACAAGTGCACAATACACATAACAGGTGAGGGGGAAGAATTCAATACAGGGTTGCGAATTTTAGCAACATCTCTGCGTTGTTTGTAACAAATAGTTGGATTGAAGTTTGGATTGGGTGGCAGTGTGGATCTATGAAAATACCTTAATAACACTTTTTGTTATTTAACTGCACCACATTACTTCATATCATCTCTAGGTAAATTTCTGGGAAGCATGGATTTGAAACACAGTTTAGAACTACAATGCAAATTTAAGAAATCATAAATAAACACAAGTAATGCCAATATTTCTCCTTAAATCTAATTAGGTTTCCTTTTTGGTTTCAAGCATTGTTTCACAAATATTAATTATACAGTTATTTAATGTAGCATGTAGGGCCTCATCACAAGAGGACTGGTAGGTATAAAGCATAAATAAATATTCTACAATAAACCATGAAATAGACGGAAAATATAAAAATTGTAGTGGAAAGATTGCATTTCCAAGAACTCTTTGCAAACCTGTAGAAAGGTGCAGAGCTTGCAGCCAGTCTTGTTCGAGCAGGCTGGGCCCATTTAAATGAAATGGCTCCTATCACAAAAGGCTACTGAGATTGAGCTGAAACTCCTGCCTAGGGCTTAGTTAGGGGTCAGCAAACTTTTTCAGCAGGGGGCCGGTCCACTGTCCCTTAGACCTTGTGGGGGGCCAGACTATTGAAGGGGGAAAAATGAGTGAATTCCTATGCCCCACAAATAACCCAGCGATGCATTTTAAATAAAAGCATACATTCTACTCATGTAAAACACGCTGATTCCCGGACCGCCCACGGGCCGGATTTAGAAGGCAATTGGGCTGGATCCGGCCCCCTGGCCTTAGTTTGCCCACCCATGTTTTAGCCTAAAGATGACTGCTGCTGAAACAACATTTGAGGTCTGCTGTTATGAAATCTCCAGCCTGAGCCATGCATGGAGCTATCCAAGGTGCCATCAAAGCCTCCCTTTACCTTTTGCTCAAAAAGAGAACATACTGGGAATGCAATTTACCTGCAATATTGATACTGTCTGTGAAAAATGGTGCTGCTCCATTGTTGAAGTAGAATAAAGACCTGCCAATGGGTGATCAAACTTCTGAAGATAGCTGTTGCTATAACCCCTGTGGTCCAGGTCATGACATAAACATGCAACCATAAGTCCTTTTCGCTAGATAAGTAAGCAGACAGAATATGTAATCAGTGTTCCGATTAATTTTGTACCACTAGATGTCAGTCTATTCCCTCCAAACATTCCAACAATTCCATTAACAGGTAAAACACACTCAAGCCTTATTTATATTTTAAAAAAATATTTATATCCCACCCTTTGGCCCTCAAAAGACCCTCAAGGTGGTTTGCAACCACAAAACATATAACTTAATATACTAAAAATTAGATGCAATTAATTCCATTTTTATGTTATGGTTTATCGCTTCTTTAAAGCAAGCATACAAAAATGGAATAACTATTTAGTGCATTTTTATTATTATTATTACTATTATTATTATTATTATTAATATCTCGCTCTCCCCAGCCAAAGCTGGGCTCAGAGCGGTTAACATCATACCAGTAAGACAATGCATAAAAACAAGCGATCAATAAATTAAGATACACCCCACAATTAATTCAAATAAATTATAATTAAAATTAAAACTGGACAAGTGGCAATCTTCAGGTTAAAACTGAATAGCTATTTAAAAGCCATTAAAAGTTCAGCAGAATAAATATATGTCTTGGTTGCCTGCTTCAAACCACAGAACTTTCCTCAGAAGAGAGTTCCACAACCAGGGAGCTACCACTAAAAAGGCCTGTCTCAAGTGTGCTTCCCTTGTCAGTGCAGGGCTTCTGTAACAGATGGACATGTAAAAGAGGGAGGAGACCGTTCTTCAGATAACCTGGTCCAAGCCATTTAGGGTTTTATCTTGACTTGGGCTTGAAACAGAAAGCCAATGCATTATGAGAAACACCTGGCTGACACTGAAAACAGGAGCACCGTGTTGAGCCCATACATGACAGAACATTTGTTTACTATCAAATTTCTGGCAGCAGCTGTTTAGGATCTCATCATCTTTCCTGCCTAATGAATCTGCAAGGCATTGCTTCACACTATGGTACAAAGTGCAATAAATAAATTTAGGAAATCATACATTGCCAAAAATGACTTCAGTATTAGTCCTCAATGATAATTGGGTTTTTCTGTTTGCTTTCAAACTTGATGTTTTGCAAATGTAAGTAACCATTCTTGAGCAAAGCAACTCTAAAGCAAAATTCCAGGAGGAAATGGCTGATTTAAAACTTTGAAAAAAAGTTCAGCTCTAACATGTGGCCTGAAGAGAGAAGGTTTTTTCCACAGATGTTATTTTACCTATGTAAGGAAGTGTGTACTATCAATAGTGCTTTGTGAATGATCACTGTAATAATTTTACCTAAATTTAAGATTCAGTGTAATTCCCATGGCTTATATTTCTTGAATGTTATTCCCTCTGACCTCACTGGTTGGTTTGTTTTTCTCAGTGCCAAAGGTGGCTAACCTGTGGTCCTCCAGATGTCACCAAACTACAGCTCCCATCATCCCTGAACCATTAGCTGAGGCTGACAGAAGTTGTAGTTCAGCACCTTCTGGGACGCGGGGCAGAGGTTAGCTACCCCTGCTCTACCCCTATGTGTATATGCCTGCCCACACTGAATAATGCTTCATGCATCTGTATATGTGGATTATAGTCTACAAAAGGCCATGCCACAATATATATTTTTAATCTTTAAAGTGCCACAAGATTCTTCTTTGTTTTTATATATTCCTATATAGATAATAAATCACACGATAACTACAACGGAGGCATTTTCATGTATGCTGTATGTACTGTTTACCAGAGCAAACTGCACGTCACCTGTGTGCAAATATTCAGTTGCTCTGTTCCAGACACCTGACATCCGCCTTAATAGATTATAAGTCCTTTAGGCAGAGAGCGTGTCACTGCTATGTTCTGTACAGTGCCTTAAATAGTACTTGCATTGATTTTTCAACATTCAGCTATTTTTCCAAAACAACAGAAGAGAACCTTTTTATATCTGCCATGAATTTTACAAACATTTAGTGGGTCAGAGCACCCGCATATATTGTATCAGGCTGTGGTCAGTACTATGTGACACAGAGGAAACAAATAATAGTATGGGGTGCCACAAAAATGCAGCACAGGGCTTACCGGATTTGCTGAATTCCCCATCTCCACTGGGATGAGTCCCCAAGCCACCAGGACCCAACTAAGATATCAATTGAAAACTGAACTGGTAACTAGATAATTGCTACGAGAGAGGAAGGAAACTGCTTGGAAAGGGACAGACTCTCCTTTGGACTCAGGCACAACCAGAGTGTGAGCCTCAGGGTTCAGAAGCCTGTTCATAGGAGCAGGATACGCAAAATGAGAACAGTAAGCCTTTCCATACTCCAATGGGCAGAATATTTGGTTGCACAATTCCTACTATTTTCACATTTAAATGCTTTTTGGTCTTGCCACTGTACAATTCTCTCTCTCTCTCTCTCTCTCTCTCTCTTCACCCCCCTTTCCCTGTCCTTCCTGATGTGGGAGGGAGACAGAGGAGGTGGAAAGAGAATCTAGGGAAAGAGTAGGCTAAGGGTCATCATGTATTGCATGGCGTTTAGAACAGAAAACCCTGCTGTCCCGGCAGAAGCAGAATGAGGACTGGGTGGTGATCTCTCACTGATCGTAGTTATTATAGGAATAAAGCTAAGCCCAGCCTCTGGACACCAATGGGTGATCCTTCACAGAAGAATACTTGAGTTCCTTCTGGCCACCTTCTAATTTTGGGATGATTCCAGAGAGAGGGTTATGCCCTTCTTAGTTACGAGCAACTTCCCAGGATTTCTACTACTTATTTTAATTCATTTTCACAATGAGTCTAATTACCATGTTCTAAAATGAAGTTTTATGTTCTAAAATAAAGTTTTCTAAAATAAAGGTCAGTGTACAGTAAGCCCACTACTTAAAGGTACCCTGCCCGTACGGGCCAGTCTTGACAGACTCTAGGGTTGTGCGCCCATCTCACTTAAGAGGCCGGGGGCCAGCGCTGTCTGGAGACACTTTCCGGGTCACGTGGCCAGCGTGACATCGCTGCTCTGGCGAGCCAGAGCCGCACACGGAAACGCCGTTTACCTTCCCGCTAGAAAGCGGTCCCTATTTATCTACTTGCACCCGGGGGTGCTTTCGAACTGCTAGGTGGGCAGGCGCTGGGACCGAGCAACGGGAGCGCACCCCGCTGCGGGGATTCGAACCGCCAACCTTTCGATCGGCAAGCCCTAGGCGCTGAGGCTTTTACCCACAGCGCCACCCGCGTCCCAAGCCCACTACTTACACGGGGGTTATATTCAGGGATCGTGTCTAAAGCCAAAATCGTGTGTAGTCAAAACCCATTGGGTTCAACGATGGGTAGGATTGCCAAAATCATTTCCCCTGGGAAACTGCCCCCTTTCTGCCCCTTTTAATTTTTGCCTTGTGTGTAAAGCTGAATGCGCACAAATTAATTGTGCGTAAGCTGCAGGCTTACTATAGTACAATCTGTATGGAGATGTCTAAAGGCTAGCTGTGTGTTAACCAGATGTCCTTTGTTATCCAAAGTTGTACCCCAGAGGTAGTCAATACAACATCCTCCTGATCTGCCTTAGCTAGTAATGATCAGGGATTATGGGAGTTGCAGTCTGGCAATATCAGGAAGGCACTAGGTTAGCTAACCCTGCTGTTCCCTTTTGGGTTTTCTCAAACTATTTCTGATTTTATGTATCACTATTATACCTAGCTATATCTAAGTAAGGCCAATGTCCTGGGCTTTTTAAAATAGTGCAGACATTCCTTATTTCAAACCAGCAATGTTCTTTTTCTGAACCACATCATGTCCTGCCTTCATGCTCTGTTTGCAATTGTATACAGAATTCAAGATGCAGATGTACAGTTGATTAAGGCTGCAATACTATACACATTTGCCTGGCCCTTAGTTACATTGAACTCAGTGGGATATAGTGTATAGTATTGCACTATAAAAAAAGGGACACGGGTGGCGCTGTGGGTTAAAGCCCCAGCGCCTAGGACTTGCCAATCGAAAGGTCGGTGGTTCGAATCCCCGCGGCAGGGTGCGCTCCCGTCGTTCGGTCCCAGCGCCTGCCAACCTAGCAGTTCAAAAGCACCTTCGGGTGCAAGTAGATAAATAGGGACCGCTTACCAGCGGGAAGGTAAACGGCGTTCCGTGTGCTGCGCTGGCTCGCCAGATGCAGCTTGTCACGCTGGCCACGTGACCCGGAAGTGTCTGCGGACAGCGCTGGCTCCTGGCCTATAGAGTGAGATGAGCGCACAACCCTAGAGTCTGGCAAGACTGGCCCGTACGGGCAGGGGTACCTTTACCTTTACCTTATTGCACTATAAATGAAAAATTTCTTAAATTTAAAATCCCTTTCCATGCTGAATATAATTTTACACTGATCCAAACATGAAATTACTCGTGTCTGAGATATGAATGTTGATACTGGAAAAAAATCTAAACTTACTTCTACGTCTGTGAAAAGCCTGTAGTTATTCTTAAGAACAGCATACATGCAATGCGCAACTGTAACTGCATGCTTCCAGTTGTGATAGGGCACACGGCGGTAATTCTTCTTTACAGACAGTGTGAATCGACATAGTTTTTCTAGTTCAAAACTTTTAAAAAAATAGAATGGTGAGATAAAGCAAGTGAAAGAAAAAAACGTAAGTTATTTTAACCAAACAGAATAAAAAGAGATTTTACACTAAACTTTATTTAATGCTCCACTGATAATGTTGCAAAAATTAGCAGAAGCATTTTAGTTTATTTTAATTCTCCTCAAAATTACTGGCCTTATTTACTTAAAATCTATTGCAAATGCAAAGCCAGAGCTTATAATGATATAAGAAAAAATCTATTCAACAAGAATTTATGCTTTGCCATGCAAGCTCAGAAGTTCCTCTCTTCTCTCTGCCCTAACAGCCATGGTAAATATATTTCTGTACTGCAGAGAAATAATACATTTTCACGTCCACCCCCCCCAAAAAAAGTAATAATAAGTTAGCTAACTGAGGGCTACTGAAAGTTGTCCAGCTCTTCAAAACATTCTGGTTAAAGAAAAAAGGTCAATGGCAGATTCAATGCCATTGGCTTTTGCAGGGAATGAATAATGTTGGTCAAACAATGTCTAGCATACAATTCCACACACAAGTTGAGTTCACATCTAAATGGAGGCCAAGCTGAAAAGAGGAAAGCAGATGCACCTCTGCCTGGATATCAAATGTAGGTTCCCTTCAGTGTCTTAGTACAGAAATACCACTAAAGAAACTGATTATACTCTCATTCCTTCCTCAGTTCTCACTGCTTTCTTCTGCTGCTGCTGGTCCTTCTCTACAGTGACAGAGGGAACTGTGATGTCCATTTCTACTACTGCCTCATATCCTGGTAGGGAAGACACAGGCTTCAAGCAGCACTCCTGACCCCTTTGCTTTGTCACCCTTACTCACTGGAAGTGTACATGTGAATGTTTTGTTAACATTTTGCCCTGGGTGCAAAATTGCAGTACAAATTTCCACTTCCAAGAGAAATTGTTTACAATGTAATAATGCAGCTCCAGAGCACACGTGTAGAAGCTGACACACATACAAAGAAGGGCAATATTTCACTTATTCCCTGCAGAGTTCTAGGGATGCACTTCCCAACTCACAGAAGGTAGGACAGCTTCTGCACATGCAGAGTTGCATGTCCACATCAGAGTCCCACAGAGCTTCCAACTATGACCCTGGAACATGAGCTAAAAAAAAAAATATGCAAGTAATTTCTCAGCAGCCTACTATTTATTTATTTATTTATTTATTTATTTATTTATTTATTTATTTATTTATAGAGTAATTATTTTGAGAAAAACACACTTCTAGTGGTTCAAGAGCACCACTGCTAATGCCGCCTGTACATTCAAGTTAAGTTATAACAGTTTGGCTCATATTGCAAATCATATTTACACATCCCCTGCACCCCCACACTCCACCTGTTCAAAGTTGGTGTCTAGGCTAAAAGCTCTAATTACCCTTCCTCCAAAACATCAGATTCCACATAAAGGCTCAAGGCTGACAGCAAAACACTGGAATCTTCTTTTTTCAACCTGTCTTCCTTTCTGACTGCATTTCTGTGCCTGCATGTGCAAAATGGGGCAGACTTACAAGGCAGGAAAGAGAACTACCTTGCCTCTATGGTTACAATACATCTGACTAAAACATTTTAAAATTCAAAACTGAAAAATCTGCTTTAAGAGCATTAGAACAGTGCCACTATCTATGGCTTACACCTCAACCATATGCATGTTTATTGAGAAGCCCCACTGGTGTCAGGGGTACTTACTTCCAAGAAGGCATGCTTGTGATCACAAGCCAAGTCACTATTTAAAGAAACAACCTCACTGAGTTGTACCTTTAAATTCTTCTACTCAAATTACAGGGCCTTCTGACAATTATCGCAACCTGTACCAGGATTCATGAAAAAATCCACATTGTCCTAATATACAGGTTGATTAACTGATGCATTAAAAAAAATGCCTGCATTGAAAAAAGGCACAACTTTCCATGCAGGCTTTAAGAAAACTTGTAAGTGAAAGGTGAACTTTTATACGTTTATAAGGTGGACTATTTCCAATGGTGGATTTGCCCTACTAGTAAGTGCTTCCAATTGCCCAAATTATAGTACACGGTTTTTCACCAACTCCCCGCTACATACGTAAGCACCCTGCTCCCTCCAGAAAAACTGTTAAAGAGGTCCAAGGAAAACTTTTAATATGGCATTGGCCTGACTCAAACATCATCCTAAACCATACCACGGGTTGAGTTCCAGGGAGGAGATTGTGGCGTCTTCATTCTCTCCTGATAATTTTGCAGCTACACTGCATTAAGCCATGGCTTGGCTTAGCATGCCATTCCAACCTCGGCTCCTGATTTAGCTCTCTCCAGACTAACTACACACTTGAACTAAGCCAAGCCATGGTTTGTCTTAGTGTGGCACGCGAACCAGGCCATTATCTGTAGGTCCAATTCTTCCGAGAACTTGTGATATACTTGTGATACAAGACAGGCTGAAGTTGTAAAATATAAATAATCAAAAGTGAAGCTAGAAATACAGGTAAATATTATACTGCTTGCAGAATGTTTAGCCTAACATCAGAAACTTCTGATAACATTATTCAAGGTAGAAGTATTCCAAAAATATAACAGGATAGTCAACTCACAACAAGCTCCCTTTCCCACCTAACTGCTGCATCCAATGCCAGAAGCATGACTGACACATTCCGAGGGAAATGCAGCCCCAAATTCAGAAGCATAAACATGATTTTCCATTATAAAAACAATTGTGGGTTGAACCTACAATTCCCACTCCATTGTCTTTTCAATTCTCTCAGGGAATCAAGATGCAACAGAGGCTCTCCACTGAAGGATGAATGTAGCAGAGAGGATTTTACCTTTCTTCTGCCAGCTACCATGCTGCTCTGGAGGGCCCTCTCCCCTTCCAGATGTGCTTTGCAGGGTGCTGCAGAGGGAAGGGGGAATCAGAGAATATGGCCTCCTCACTCCCTTCCTCCAGTGTGAGTAGAATTCAGTGTGAGTATATTTATGTTGGTTTAAAATATAACCAGGTGGGTGCATATCTGTGTGCATACACACACACACACACACACGGGATACAACACAAAACATAATGAAATTAAGACTATTAATACTTTTCAAGGGAGGGGGAAGAACTGAACAAGATACGACAACTCTCCCAGTCAAAAGCTCTGCAGGGCTCTGAGGCACACATGAAGATCTACACAAGCCAAAACTGCCCCTTTCACTTTAGTCTTCTAGAGATTTAAATAAGGAAACAGCCCTTGCTCACACTTAAGAGATGTGAAGGCTCTAGGGAAATAAATAAATAAAAACTCGCAGGGGGTGGATCTATTTATTTTCCAATGGAAAAACTGTAAATTCTGGAGAAATTTCAAAAAGCCTTTTTGGCAAATATTTTATGTTGTAAGTAAATGCTATCAAAGGCAAAGCTTCTCCCCCCCCCCCATTTAAACTTTTTTAGCTGCACTTTACTACCTCAAAATTGTTTCTAATAATATTGTAATAAATTTGCTGTATGAGGCAATTACTATTTCTGTATAGTATAGACATGTACAGATCTCAAATCCTCTTTCCTGCTTCAGTATTTTCAAATACAGTATTTTACATAATCCTATATCCTACACAGCCAGATCATTTCATGGTAATCAAATAAAACATTTACTATATAAAAACCAGTGTGAATAGTTGTAAAATTAAAGGTTAAAAAAAATGAATTCATACCAGCCTGACCCACAAGACTGATGGATCATATAGATAAAAATGGATGGCCAGAAATCTTCATAAGGAGTGATATCAAAGTGGAATCTGTTATGAAGGAAATTTACAGTTAAGAGAACCAAAGACTCTTGGATGTACATTATGCTTATTAGTTCAGATAAAAGCTTTCTGCACCAGAATCTCTTCTGTTGAACATCAACTTCAAAATCAAAAAGTGCTGATTTATTCTCACTAGCTTCTGGTATAATAATTCAAGGCTCTATCCTTCTTAAGACAGTGCCTGACATCACTTCACAAACAGCTTTCTGAGTGATTTCCCGTAAAAAGCAGGGATGGGCTCCTTTTGCTCACTTCAGACTTTGTTCAATACGAATATGTGAGCCTTGAAATGGGCTAAAGGAGCCCAGGGTGCCATGAATTACTGTGTGCTGTTTATGGGGAGTGCTTATCATGGCAGCAGCAGGCTTCCTTCCCCCTTTTTAAAATAGGTTCAAAATATTTGCAGCAGTAGTAGTGGAGATCCAGTTGCTGTAACAGCCATAGTTCCACCTCTGCTGCTTTGCTGCCAAAACTGCCACCATAAGCAGTGGCTTTTAACCTTTAAAAAAAAGAAAAGAGGATGCAGCCTTGCCACCCCTATGTACGGTAAGTCCCCACCTCTCAAATTATTGAGGGGGAGTGTTGAATCTTGGCAGTTGAAATGACACTAGAATGACTGTTCTCAGTTCTCTACCTGCAAATGAGGTGTGGAATTATGGGTAGATTTTGCCTCAGGCCTGGTAGAAGACAGAATTAACTTGAGAACTCTTGGCAGCTGAGTTAAGAATGGCAGGCAATTGCTGTTTTTGCTGGGTCGCGCTGCAGTTTATGACTTTCATTTCTTTAATTTCTCAGCAGTTTGTGTGGTCCCCTCCTTCTCTGCCATCCTTATAAAGGATACAGGCGTTTTGTGTCAATCATTTATGAATTTTACTACAGGATGCCATTTGTGTCCAGGTGAATGAATGAGGGTTTTGTTACCTGAGGTATTCATTATTAAAATGTTTGATAGGCATTATGTTGTTAATTTCCCTTGAACACAGTCTTATGGTCTTACATATAATTAACACAATAAAGTATAATGTAAGTTACACTGGTTCAATTTCATTTGAAGGGTGGGGTCAATATCTATTTAACTCTCCTGCAAGTTTTGCAGTTCTCAACTGGGTTTACCACTGCACCAGCTGCCAGAACTTTGCTGCTGTACTACCTAGACCAAGAAGAGCCCATTAGGAGGTACCCTGAGAAAGAATATTCACAAGGAAAAATAGGTCTCAAGTTTCTGGGGAAAATACTATGATTGTTAGATGTAACAGATAAGCCTTTGGGTACATGAATGTTTAATTAGAATAATGAAAGGAAATGATAATGTTGCTGATAATGGATTTTTGATTATGACAAATTTGTATGCTACCTGAGTGGTAGTGAATATTCTAAAACGAAATAATGCAATCCAAACATTTAAAATTCCACTTTATCATGTTACTTAAAGTTATATTCTTCTGAAGTCAATATTCATAATCTCACGTTGAGGCTCATAACGACAGAACTGCTAGTTGTTTTATTATCAATTAGCCCTGCCTCATAGCTGAATGCAGCAGGTGTTTTATTTCCCTGTCACTGACTTCAGTAAAATACTTGGGTGCATTGGAAACACAGTATTGCACAGCAGATACGCTAGATCTGAAAGTAACCACTCTGTTTATATAAATGATTAATGAAGCATGGCTACCATGACAACCACAGGATTGTCCCAGAGTGTTTCAGAGCCTATACCCATGTGAGGTCATACACTTCATTGGGTGTTCTCTGCTGGCCATAATAATGTGAGGTTGATGGTGTTATCCACAGAACCTTTCTCATTAACTCCCTGGTCAGGTGTAGACCTAAACTGCTACCAATGGGGGATTTCCTCCCAATGCATATACTAGCTTCAGATTTTCCTCATTATTATAAGCAGGGGGCAGAAAGGGGTGAATTCGTTAACCTTCCACGCCTACTCAAATCCAGTTAATCATCAACCTCCCCTCCTTACGCTGATGCTATTTGTATTTTGAAAAACCTGAATACTCATTGAAAAGATACATTTGCCATGTCTAGTGTGGCTCTTTGATAATCGCAACAGCAACAGCTGCTAAGCTGCCAGTGTTCATGGGGAATACCCTACTTCTGTATCAAAAAGATCACATTAAAAACATACAGTTCTACTTCTTTGCAGAGTTGTGGTGGGAGTCTGCAGTCCATGAGGTTTTTCCATTCTTCTGCTGTACAAACACTGTGATAGGAAAGCTTCTCCATAGTAACACGGTAGATACACTCTGAATGGCGAACTTTGTGGTACATCTAAATAAAGCATTTTATTATATAAGATATGGCTGTTTGCACAGTCTAAACTTTCTTTCTCAAGCCAAATACTTAGATCTGTGTCTAGCTTCACAAAGGTGATATTTCTGAGGGATTAGGAATACTTTTAAAAGAGAATAAATTGATATGGTCACTTATCATGTGAATTTGAAGACTTTTTAAAAAAATTAAACAAAGCTGTAAATGATAGAATCAGCTTAATCGTAACCATTTTATTAACAATCAAATCTTAATCGCAGAACTTTAAAATTGAATCAGTTTAATCTCTGACACCTCTCTTAACAATTAAATTAGTACAACTGACTTTGCTATACAAATCCAAAATGGATCATATAAATTTATAAAATTAATTAATTTCATTTTTTGTGCACTTGGCTATCTTTGTAAAACAAAACTTACATTAGCACAGTGTAAGGCTAAAGCACAAAAGACTGCAAACATTTTAAAGTTGTTCTCATCAGTTTTAGAGAAGGCACATCCACTTAGTTTGTTCACCATCTGCACGACGCCTATTACACTTCCTCGGCTCACAATAGGCATGCATAAAATATTCCTGGTGGTGTAGCCTGTGTAGAGATCTACCTCCCTGAAGGAAAAAAGGAAAAGGGTGAACATTCACTTTCTTAACATGACATCATCTAACAATAATGTTCAAAGCCATTTCATGTGCGTTATCTAGTTGTAATCCTTACAACAAGCCTGTAATGTTAATATTATCATCTCCATGTTGCAAATACAGGATAAAGGCTAGAAGAACCTGGTAAATTCATAACACATGTTAGGCTGAAGCCAGGAGCTTTCTGATAGATAGATAGATAGATAGATAGATAGATAGATAGATAAATTATCTGATAAATAATTTAGCCACCATTCCCAACAAGCATTCCAGCCAATTCAAACCTCCATATGCAAGGGATGCCAAGTGTGCATGAAGTGCTTGTTGGAGTTAATAGTGGACGGTATGGTAGGGCAGAGGGGGTGCACTCTCCCTGATGGAGCAGGTATGTAGTTTGGGGGTGCTCCTCGTTCCAGCTCTATCAATGGAGGTGCAGGTCTCTTTGGTGGGTAAGAGTGAATGTCTTTAACCAGCTTTCACCAGTAAGAGAGGTTATGGCCATTCCTGAATCAGGACAGCTAGAGCACAATTGCCAATGGACAGGTAACCTGGGACTACTGAAATCTGTTCGGTGTGGCTACCCTTGAGGTTGGTCTGGAAGTTGCAGCTGGTGCAGAATACATCAGCTAGGTTGCTTTGGGGGGCAAACTACTGCCAGCACAACACCTTAGCTGCAGGACTTGCAGGGGCTGCCGTTCTGCTAACCAGCCAAGTTCCTTTGGGTGGTAAACATATCAGATTCCTACCTGTTAAAACGTGGATCTGCATAGGCATCAGGAATGTTGAGAATTTCACCTGTTCTTGCTACCTGACCAGCTATTCCTTTTTCAATAGAAAATCTGCATGGGACATAAAGAGATATGCACATCTTAAAGCAATAGGCTTATAAGGAAAATGACATTTGAGCAGCTAAATTTCTCTTCCCGTTTTTGGCATCTGTCTTGTCTCAAGAGACAATGGAGTGCGCCTCTGGGGGTGAAGTCAAACTGCTGTGTTAGCAGCACTGGAGTGACCTCTCCAGGGCACAAGCCTGGCAGTGTGTATGGAGGTCCTGGGTTACCAAGACGACAAGACCCCACTCTCAGCCTCGCTGATGTGGTCCTAGAAAAGCAGAGCAATAGGTAGGGACTGCACTCTGGATTTGTGTAGGGTTTACTCCATAGCCTTTTCATCTCCCAAAGGTATATCGCAAGGCAGTGGAGGTTTAGGACCAGAGTTTTCCTTCTCCTAGATAGGCTACTTTCCCAGGTACCTTCTCAGTGGCCCCAACTGCCCCTGATTTCCCTCTACAACACATACACAAATTACTTTCTTGACAACAGGACCAACTATTAGTCTTGTCCACTCAAGTCCCTATCTCACCCAGGGTTTCAGACCCATCAGCTACCCTCACCTGGTTTAGCTGGCCAGTCAAATCTGTTCCAGGGGTCTGGCCACTGTCACATGCTGACAGCTTCAAGGAGCTACAGGTGAGGGATGAGTGCAGGGCAGGGACCAAAGGTGGGCAAACTACCCCAGAAGGAGCACAATGTGCCCCCCTCTAGAGGTACTACTCCTCCCCTAACACTCCATACATCCTTCTCTTGTAGATAAAGAGTTAATTCATCTCCTAAACAGGGACCAAAATACATGGCTAAAGCCATTTCCTGGGAAGGTGGACTGCCTCTTAACTTTCAGGTGGATAGCAGCCACAAAACATAGCTACAACACAGTTAACATCTAGCTATAATTAGGCCTAATCCCTAATTATACTGCAGAAGAGCAGCGAAGGAGACTGACTTTTGGTGAAGAAGAAAAACTTGAGCTACTCTGGATTTGTGTGACTACACAAGTCGGCATAGGCCAAAGCGCAGGAATTCACCACATAAGAATTTCCTCTCCTCTCCTCGTTGGTAGGTGGTCATTCAAAACTCATGATGATGTTATAGCATCAGAGATGTTGTTCTGATGGCGCTGCAGTTGCCACCTGCAGAAGAACTACCTCTGGAGAGGCAAATCCTCATGAGAATAATATCAGTGTGGCAAAAATTGTTAAAGTATCTGTAAATATACACAGAAATGGAACAGATTAATATTGGCATGTAAGAATAGTCAACTCACTAGTCTTACCGTATTTCTTTGGTCTTCTTGAAGACAGGTTTTCCATCATGTTCCTCCCCAATATCAAATAAATCTGAATATAATTCATTGTTCTTGTGATCTACCTGGAAAAGCGCACAGCGATCTGCATTCACCAAGTTTTTTGCATATATCTACAGATAAAGAACAGAGCTAATATTAATCACAGTGGGCTTAGACAAAGTCTGTATTATATTTCAAAAGTTAGTTAACTATACTTTAATAAACCCTATAAAAAGCCATAGTTGTTGCTACTTTAATTATAAAGTTAAGTAATTTGTAACTCATATTTCTTTTCGTACATTGATCGTAATAATTTATCTCTACTCATGAAAATAGCCCGAAGCTTCACTGTATTGTCATTGATGTCTGCTATTTAAAAAAATCCTTTATGCAAGCCTATCCAGTTGTGAAATTTTGATTTTACTTAAATAATCATAATTTTATTGTTTCTACTTGCTTTTAAAGTCTGTTGAATTTTTCTATAAATACTTTACATTATTTTATGGAAACCACTTAAGAATTATTATCATTAAGTGGTATATAAATATTGTTATATAAAAATAATTAAAATATATTTATTTCTTCTTCTGACAATAAAGATGGAGTAACTTCTTTCTTAAGCACCTCCTGGGATATTTGAGTTTGTGGAGAATGGGAAAGGAAGGTTCCAAGAGGAAAAGATAGGTGCTTTAGAAAGCATGAAACAAATTTAAAAATCTGGGATGAATTTAGAGGTAAATAAAGACTCTTCTATAGATTATTAGTGGAGAACAAAACTGGTACATCTTCCAGAAGCTTGAACTACTCAAAAGTAGCAGTTATGGGTCTGTATGATATCCTAGCTTCTGGTCACTTTAGTCTGCTTTAGTAGAAAGCTTTATTTATTTTTAAAAAGTTATTTTCTATTACATTTAGGCAGCTTATTTGGACAAAAACACAGGAAAGTTCTAACATTACTATCTAGAGAATAGTAAATATATTGGGTTCAATATGGAGAACAATTTCTGTGAATAGATGGAGTACATATCAAGCAAAGGCTTTCATTCATGAAATTTGGGGGAGGCATTTTTTGTTGATTCTTCTTCACACTTCTATGCCACTTCCCATGCTATTTTGAAGGGATTCTTATCTCCCCACAGAAGATTGGGGTGAGGGCACAGACAGTTGTTGGGGGTGGAATTGGTGAAAAGTGTCTCTTCCTTCAGGAAGCAGCAGATTTCCATGAGTAGAACTTTGCTTACAGATCTTTTGATTCAGGCCACTGTGGCATGAACCTGAGTATACTTTTAGGCCACTCAAAGAAGTTATCAGTGTCAATTTGAAGAGCATAAGAGTATTTTTTCAGAGAGAAATACTATCTAGCTATACATCTCATCTCCAGGTTTTGTAGTATTAGTGAATTATGCCATTGTTTCCCCAAGTAATATATAAAACACAAGTCAGAAAGCAGATCCTCAGGGAAGGTCTATGTTGAAAGTGAGTTTTTATGCCTAGCTGCTGTTTCTCTGCCTTTATTTATTTAAAACTGTTTTAGGCCACTTGCATATTAATTCCTGTCCAAAACAGTTTACAAAAAAGTACAACAATCAAAAGAAGCATCAAAACAATAAATAAATAGGAGAACAAGGAAAATGCTGTGTAGTCATTCAATTAGATAAAACCAGAAAGCAGCAAAAGATTTCATAAAGGCAGTCAAAATATCAATGGCCACTCACTAAAACCCATGGTTTTGCTTTGTCTTCTGAATAGTAATAATGTTGGTGCCTTCCTTACCTGAAGAGGAAGGACATTCCACAACTAGGGGACCACCACTGAAAAGGCCCTCTTTCCAGTCACAATCACCAGGACACATCGTTCCCATGGGACACTGGGTCCCAAATTACAAAAGGAATGCCACTAGGCTGCTGAGGGCAGCCAAGCCACCGCGTGAAGCGGCAACAAAGCATTTTTTCTGGAAAAAAGAAAAAGAAAAAACCCTCGGGCACCTTGTCTTTAAAAGGTAGGCCCACCCCAACCAAAAGTTCTTATAATTCTCCCACCCCCTGAAAGCCACTGAATATGCCTGGCCCCACTTTCACAGCACATTAACAGTTCTGTGAAAATAAGATACACGGCCAAGCCTTAGAAGGAATAGAACTGAGTTTCCTCAGTGTATGCTGTTGGCACTTCACTCCAAAACTTTGGACAACCTCACCTAGCAATCTCATGAAGATGTTAAAACAGCTCAGGGGCCAAGACGAGAACTCTCTGGAACACCATGGGATAACTGGGGAAATGGCACAGAGGAAAAATGTTGAACAACTCCTCTCCCCCAACTCTACTGCTTCAAGAAAAGTTATAAACCCTGCTAGGTGCAATTCAGTATAAAAAGTGTAAGCCATTCCAGTCACAGATCTCCCATGTAATGTGCAAGCTTCGTACAAGTCAACTACAATAGAATATTTTGTTTGGATGAAGGCACACACAGTCCTGGCAGAGAGGGGAGGCTAAGATATCTTTCCTCTTCTCTCCTCCCTTGGAGCCGTAGAGTAGCTGACAGCAATTAGTGAGTTGCTGCTGAAGATTAACTTTCTAATGGCTCTTAGCTGAGGACCTCACTTTGCAAAAATTCTAGAACTTCTAGATCAGCCATACAGCTCAAGTCTATGTTTACCCAGTTGTGAGTTCTCAAGTGCACACAGGGTTGCCGTCCCAGACAAATCTGCTCGAACGACTTGTGAACCAGTTTTCTTCCCTATCTTCTCGAAAGGAATGGATTTCAGCCTTGTTTCTAACTTACACTTACAGCTACTCAGTGAGGCAACACAGCTGTGCTCCACGTATAGCGTCCCTTCAAAATAAATGACTTATTTCCATGACAAACAGCAAAACCTAAAATAACTATGGATTGCTGAGATTTAGCATATTAAGACGAAATAATCATTAATAAAGCCTTCTGATTAAAAAAAAAGAAAGATTGATTTTTCAAGGAACTACTGTTAATGACTTGGTCTTTAAAGGTGCATTGTGGTAGCTGCCATGGACAGAACTATATCACTCAATATGACAAATAAACACACACTAAACTGAGCCAACATGTTATCAATCTGATTTATACCCCTTTATCTCATCCACAAACACTATTTTCCACCCGTCACTGTTGCCATAACAAATCACTAATGCCTTCTGGAGCATCTGAGGTGGACATCCTGAGCTGTGTGAGGCTGGTGACTTGCATGACCTGAGGCCTCTGACATGACGAGGTGGTATTTTTGACATTAGCAGCCTGGAAGGGGGTGGGGTGCTACATGCAATCTGAAACAAGCTGTAGGCATGAACACTCACTTTTCAGTAGGGTATTCCCTAAGGATTGGCTCTTTGAATTGTGGTTTTAATATATTACCTTGGAAAAACATACCTAGGCTGGCCAGGGCTTTTCATGGGCAAAGCCTCTGTTGCAGGGATGTGGCAGTGACAATTTTCTCCACACCTGCTATTGAAAGTTCAGAGCCTATGCGAAGAAATGTGGCATGCCCAGAGCAGATTATAGACTACATTCAGAGTTTTGACAGAACACAGAATGGAACTGTTTTGCTCTACACAAAAACCTTTCAAAATGAAACCAAGTTTTCCTCTTGATACTAGTAGCATTTGGGTGGCAAAGGGAGAATTTTCATGGAGATTGTGGCGGAGAACACCCCTCCCCACAGTCTGCCCCGATTGGACCCACAGCAGCACCTATTTACTATTTTTAAAAGATCCATGCAACTATAAGTTATGTATTAAGCACCATAAGTAGTTTGGCACTGAGAATGTGAGCTATAAAGTTTACCAAAGCTCTTTAAGTGGCATTTGACAAGCCACCAGCTCAGTTCACACTTAACATAAAGCCAAACCATGGCAGAGCATAAAGGTGCAGGCTCCTGGAGAGGAGATTGTGGCTGCTTTGCTCTTCCTCTTGTCCTCCTGCTACTGGAAGCTAAGCCATAGTTTGGCTTGGTGCAGTGTATGAACCGCTGGTGGTTCATAGGTTGTCTCTGCCAGACAAACCATGAGCCTAGGTTTAGGTAACACACCAAGCCAAACCATGGTTTAGCTCACAGCAGCAGTAGGACTGGAGCAAGCCATCTGCAACCTCCTTCCCAGGAACCTGCATGTTCACACATTCATGCTAAACAACTGTCAATTAGCACCAAGATTGCTTGCTTCACATTCTCTTGGAGATCTCACTATGTAAAGGCAGTGAAAAAATATCAATTAGCAAATCAAATTATTATATGATAGCACTAAACAATTTTTTAAATAATTTATATGTAATTCTTCTAAAAAGTAATACTTTGAACATGCACTGATTTGAAACAGACACACAATCAGGACACAGTATATAAACTAGATTTCAAAGAGGAAGACTTGAAAAGTAAGATGTAATGTTGACATTAGAGAAAAGATACATTACCATGATATTTTCAAGTAGAGCATCTATTGCCACAATGTTATCAAAATAGGTTCTGCAGGATAATAGGTGAAGTTCTTATTAATAACATCATTTATAGATTTCACTACCACAATGACCCATGCTGGTTTTCATTTACTGATAAAACAATAGGTTATCATCTATTTATGAAACCATACCACATGAATCTTCTCCCTGAATAGGCCTGTATGCATTGATCATCTTGCTCGACTGTGCCCTATGTGCCCCTTCAAGGACCACATATGGCAACTGGAGCTTTACTGGTAGATTCTAAGCTGGATTGGATCCATGCACACAGAACTAACAGAAAACTTCATTTGTCACCTTTGGCAGTGCTATAAAAATGGCCAGTGCTGACAAAGCCAAACAACCCATCACCTGTTTGTTCTACATCTGGGTACTTATCTATCACATATGTGTCCTATTTTTCCTCCAAGAAGCTCATAGCAGCAAAAATGTTGCCCCTACAACAATCCTATGATGTAAAAACTAAAAGGTAAGGAGGTAACTAGGTGAACAGGGAATTGAACCCAGATCTCTCTTGCCTAAGCTGCAAATTCCAACTTCTGTACCAGACTAGATGGGGGATCCTTCAATTAAGCAAAGGTTCAGAGCAGATGCATAATCATACAATCCAGTAGATAAGATGATAGTCAAACATATGTGATTCTTTTTAACATTTCACCCATATAAGCTACACTTGACCAAGCTATCCATCTTCTTTCATATTGCTAAAGAAACTGCTTTAGCTGCCTTCAGCAATTTCCATGTGCTGGGCTTATTGTAACATTTTCCCCCACAAATTACACCACCTCTAAATGACTTTTTTTAGTACAACAATATAGGCAATGTTTATTTCATTTTTAATATCCTCTTCCTCTTTGCATTGGCAGCAGGACACTGACAGCAGGCTTATACCTGGTTCTGTGAGCACACCAGCAAATATTCCCTCCTAAAGCCAGGTGCAGCATGACTGGAAAAACAAGCTGACCTTGCTTCCACAAGCTACTACAGCAGCTCTCTCCCCCTGGTTAATATATAGTAGCTGTCCCAGGCACCCAAAGTCACTAACAGATAAGCACCAGATGTATTAACAAAAGATGCTTTGAATGTTCCACATTCTCAAGCATCGCTGGCCATTAGATTTCATTATTTTCAAGAGACAGATATTATTCCAAAAATTGTGTACCTTTTTGTGTGACATTCAGACTGATAAGAAAGAAGAAATGTAAGACAGTGTTTCTGTCTGGGTAAGAACTGTCATCATTTAACATCCATTCCTAAACCTTGTAGAAAACATCCTGAGGTCAATGCCGAATGCATACATTTGCTTTCCACAAGAGTAACATAGTGCACAAAATCATTCTTATGAAGAATTTATATTTTCCTGCTGTTTATGTACAATTTATTTATTTATTGCTAAGACTTTTGCAGATAGATGCACTCCGTTACTGAAACCAGGATAAATAACAAGTTAGAATTAATGTTTCTTCCGCCATAGTTTACACGTAGTCTTATGCATGCCTACTCAGAAGTAAGTTCCACTGAGTTCAATGGGACTTACTTCCATGTAAGTGTGCATAAGATTTCAGTGCTTATCTTTCTATACCAGCTGGTAATATACTAAGGGCAGTAACAAGACATGACATTTGCTAACTACCTTCCATGATTCTCCATCACACATATTTCATGCAACTAACAGAGAATGAGTTGTAAGTGTGACTTACTTTGAAACGTCAAGCAGGAAGTCATTCAATTCAGTCTGCTTAGCGAGGCCCTTCGATACCTGACCAGAACATTTGAAATACTATTGCTTATATAAGCAAAAGGTTACATTCAAAAGTATGAAGTATATATGCTATCTAAAATTAGATATATATACACATCTTTAGCTTTAGATTTATTGTGTTTACAGATATGCTAACTCGGATTTATTGTATTTTTCTAATTGTCTAAAATGGCAGCTCTTACACTGTTGAGCCTGAAGACTTTACTGTTTGTGCCCTCCTCTGCATATAAACTCTGAATGCAGAAACCTAGGATACCAGCTCACAGTCAGTTCTACTAACCTGCTCAGACAGGTAAAGTGTTCAATTTTCTGCCTAAGAAAGATTGTCTTTCCCCCCATTTACTCATCTTATATAAACAACATCTAAGACAAGCAATAACTGAGGTAAATAAGCTACCGGTATATTATTTTCTACCAAATCCTTTGGCTGAGTAGTATGTACATGTTCTGGGTTCTTAAAAGAAAGAGGCAGACTCAGGTCTACATCACTTACCACCATTGCCAAGTTCATGGTAGCTCTCTCAGATTTGGTTAGATTTTAAAAAACTGAGTTTGGAGGATTTTATACAAAAAATATATATACTAAACTGGTGGAAGTAGCTGGGAAGAAAAGTGAGTTACAGAAGTTTTCATGGTGCAGGCAAAGGATTTTGATTGTCCCTAAGAGGAAAGCACTTGTGAGGGTTAAGAACCATTTGGGTTTTTAAATCTCACTGATTCAGTGGCAGAGAGCTAAGTTCATGATTAAGCAAAGACTAGGTGTGGGGAAACACTAGCATGACCTGCCAAATCTCCCCATTTAGTTTGTGCAGCCATTCTGGAGAAGCCATACCTATCTGCCCTGCATCTGAAATCATATGTGACATCAGGTGTGAGGCTGGTATGGGCAGTGCTTAAAGGGACAAACAGGAACTTAAAGTGAGTTTCCGGTTTTTCCTTTGCTGGTGCAAGGCACACTTCCACTTGCCCATCAACCAATGTGCAGTGGGAGAGCACCTTGCTCAATGGAATCTGTTTTGTTCTTCCAACACTGCTCTTTGAACCTCGGAAAGCCAGAGGTTCAAAGAGCAGCATGGGGCTGCTTGAAAGTCCTTTGCAAACAGCCTGCCCTGCTCTTTAAACTTGGGTAATTCCATGACAATGTCAACTTACAGACCTATCTTTCATTTTCATATGTAGTTAACATGTTCTATATCACTTTAAAGATAATTTTCCAAAATTTCATCATCTGACAACAGTTTTTCAAAATGGCATTTTACATGTGAGTAAAACAACCAGAAACATGACATACAAGATGACTCAGAATTTCTCTCTCCCCCCCCTAATATTCAGTTAAAGACCTCTCCAAGAAAATAGACAATAAGTTAATGACCTTTTTATTGTACTGACAGTTTTGCTTTCTCATTCTCTTCTCAACTGAGAAGAAACTTCATGCACTGAATAAAATCAGATGAACTTAAACCAATAAAACATATATTGGTTGGGTATGTAGTCAGAAGAACACATACTCCCTCCTCCCTCAACAAATGGAAATAACTTTATGCTCTTCCTTAAGATGTTAACATGAAGAAAATGTGCTGAGATGTTACCTATCAGATGTTTTATGTGCAGCAATTCCTACAAGCAACATAACACCACAATGTGCACAACTTATATAGAATATATGTGTTGTGATTTTGTCACTTAAATCCCTTTTTAGGGTTGTCATAATTGTTTTCCTAAGAGTTTAATAATTATTAGGCCTTATTATTTGTACCATACCATCAATGCAGGGCACCTTACAGAGTTTTACAAAAAGAGACAGGTCCCGACCCTCAAGAAGCTTACCCTCTGAAAGACAAGTCAGACAAGGGGAAGGTGGACATATGTTAATGCTTTTAGAAGATAGGTAATATAATTGTATGTTTAAACTTTCTAAGTAACTTCAATCTGGGTGTGGTTTAGAAAAGGCAGAATTGGCATTTCTCTACTACAGTGTTTCCCAACCTTTTTTGGGCAAAGGCACACTTGTTTCATGAAAAAAATCTCGAGGCACACCACCATTAGAAAATGTTAAAAAATTTAACTCTGTGCCTATATTGACTACCATATTTTTCGCCCCATAGGACGCACCGCCCCATAAGACGCACCTAATTTTTTGGGGGGAGAATAAAGAAAAAAAATTTCCCCTCCCCAGGCACGGGGCAGGCGCGGGGGAAGCCCAAGCTTCCCCCGACCCCAGCCCCCAGAACAGCCTGATACCCGCGAGCCTAGGGAGCCACACTGGTCTCCCCAGGCTTGCGGAGAGGTGCGTGAAGCCCGGGGGCGCTCTTCAGCGCGCACCAGGCTTCGGGATGCAGGCAGCTCTGCGCTACCCTCCAGAGCCCCGTGCGGCTTCGCGCTGGGATCCGGGGGGTGGCGCGGAGCTGGAAGAAGCCCTGGAGCGCAGGCAGCTTCGCACCACCCTCCGGAGCCCCGCGCGGCTTCGCGCCAGGATCCAGAGGGTGGTGCAGAGCTGCAGGAAGCCCTGGAGCCCAGGTAGCTCCGCGCCACCCTCCGGAGCCCCGCGCGGCTTTGCGCCAGGATCCGGGGGGTGGCGCGGAGCTGCAAGAAGCCCTGGAGCGCAGGCAGCTCCGCACCACCCTCCGCAGCCCCGCGCGGCTTCGCGCCGGGATCCGGGGGCTGGCGCGGAGCTGCAAGAAGCCCTGGAGCGCAGGCAGCTCCGTGCCACCCTCCGCAGCCCCGCGCGGCTTCGCACCAGGATCCGGGGGTGGCGCGGAGCTGCAAGAAGCCCTGGAGCGCGGGCAGCTCCGCGCCACCCTCCGCAGCCTCCTACGGAGGGCGCCCCGTGCTCCGCGCTGCTGGCTGCCGCCCGCAAGCCGTGCACGCGGGGGGGAGTTCCCCTGGGCGCGCAAGGCTTGCGGACAGCTGCGCGAAGCACGGGGCGTCCTCCAAAGGGCGCCCCGCGCTCCGTGCTGCAGGCTGCCGCCGCAAGCCTTGCGCGCCGGGGGGGGGAGTTCCCCCAGGCGCCCAAGGCTTGCGGACAGCTGCGCGAAGCACGGGGCGTCCTCCAAAGGGCGCCCCGCGCTCCGCGCTGCAGGCTGCCGCCCGCAAGCCTTGCGCGCCGGGGGGGGAGTTCCCCCAGGCGCCCAAGGCTTGCGGACAGCTGCGCGAAGCACGGGGCGTCCTCCAAAGGGCGCCCCGCGCTGCAGGCTGCCGCCCGCAAGCCTTGCGCGCCGGGGGGGGAGTTCCCCCAGGCGCCCAAGGCTTGCGGACAGCTGCGCGAAGCACGGGGCGTCCTCCAAAGGGCGCCCCGTGCTCCGCGCTGCAGGCTGCCGCCCGCAATGTTTGGATTTGCATCCAGCAGGAGATGCCGCCGCCGCCCCGCCTCTCCCGCCTCCCTCCCACGGCACACCAGGCAAGGTCTCACGGCACACTGGTGTGCCGCGGAACACCGGTTGGGAAACACTGCTCTACTAGACACCCCCAACTTCACCCACTTTCTTGAAGCATGAAGAAGTTTCTACCAGCTTCCTCTCAGATTTATCAAGGAGCCAGTCTCATTCTGATTCATCTCCCTAGCTAAACTGAACCGAATAACCAGGCTCATCTATACATACAGGTATTCTCCTCAGAACCAAAGGTCTCTTGCTGAGCCTCAGGTTAAGAGTACAACCCTGTAAAAGGCTGAAGGCAGTTTTGAACAGAAGTGTAAATGTTTGTGGGGTTTTTTCAAATATTTTAAACTGAAGAGACAAAGGGGATGATGCCCCTATGGTAAATGTAATTATTCTGAAGGAAAGCACTGAAGCAGAAACAGCCACTGAAGCACTGGTGCCAACTGGGCAACTTTGTTGTTGTTGAGTTTGAGGGAAATTGAAAAGAAAATTTGTTGACCAGGTGCTGGCAATATTATGTTCATGAATATAGAATCCTCTTCTTTAAAACACAAAAAGGACTTCCTTAACATTTGTCTTCCCTACAAATAAATATAAAAGTTGCTTGAAAAGGGGGAGGGAATCATGAGGGGTTTCCACAGCCAAGTATAAATTCCAATGGGCATTACAACTTCTCATATGGACTTGCTGCTGACCTTCAGCAAATGCACAATAAAGTGTCATTTTCACAGGGTCTTGCTATAAGGCATTTGTGCGTGAGACAGTGAATCATCACCAACAAAGAGATCTTGGACCTGCTTCTCACCAACAGGGGGAAATTGATCGATGAAGTGGAAGTGCTCGGAAACTTGGGAGGAAGTGATCATGTTCTCCTGGGTTTCAGGATACAGAGGCAAGGGGAAACTGAGTGTAGTCAGACACGCACTCTGGATTTTTAGAAGGCCAATTTCAAAAAGCTGAAGGAGCTACTGGGTGTGATCCTGTGCTCAGAAATACTTAATGAGAAGGGAGTCCAAGAAGGATGGGAGTTTCTAAAAGGAGAAATATTGAAGGCCCAAATGTAGACAATACCAAGAAGAAAGAAAAGTGGGAAGCATCTAAGGAAACCGGTGTGGCTGCATAAGGAGCATACAGATGAGCTGAGAGTTAAGAAGGGCATTTATAAGAAATGAAAGAAAGGGGAAATCACAAAGGAGGAGTATACATAAATAGCCAACAGCTGCAGGGGAGAAGTCAGGCTGGCTAAAGCTCAGAATGAGTTCAGGCTTGCAAAAGAGGTTAAAAATAATTATAAAGGTTTCTTCTGCTATGTCCAAAGTAAGAAGAAGAAGCAAGTGGTGGGTCCTCTGTGTGGGGAAGACGGAGAAATGCTATTGGGTGAGAGAAAAGGCGGAACTACTCAACACCTACTTTGCCTCTGTCTTCACCCAAAAGGAAAGCGATGCCCAACCTGGTGAGAACAGAATAAATGATGTAAGGAGGGAGCTGCAGTCCAAGGTAGGGAAAGAGGTAGTAAGGGAACACCTAGCTACTTTAAATGAATTCAAATCTCCCAGGCCTGATGCATCCAAGGGTACTAAAGGAGCTTGCAGATTTAATTTCAGAGCCTTTGTCTATTATTTTTGAGAATTCTTGGAGAAGGGGTGATGTCCCTACAGACTGGAGGCAGGCAAATGTTGTCCCTATCTTCAAAAGGGGGGGGGGGAATACCCAGGTAACTACTGACCAGTGAGCTTGACATTGATGCCTGAGCATTTAGAAAAGGATGCTGTGATTACTAAGACCCAGCATGGGTTTCTCAAAAATAAGTCATGCCAGACCAATCTGATTTCTTTCTTTCTTTTTCTTTCTTTTCGATGGAATTACAAACTTGGTGGATCAGGGAAATGCTGTGGACATAGTGTATCTTGATTTCAGTAAGGCTTTTTGACAAAGTCCCCCATGATATTCTTGCAAGGAAGCCGGTAAAATGTGGGTTGAACAAGGTAAATGTTAGGTGGATTCATAGCTGGTTGACTGACCGAACCCAAAGAGTATTCATTAATGGTTCTTTGTCATCCTGGAAAAATGTGACAAGTGGGGTGCCACAGGGTTCTGTCCTGGGCCCATTGTTGTTCAATGTCTTTATAAATGACTTGGATAAAGGAACTGAGGGGATACTCATCAAATCTGCAGATGACACCAAACTGGAAGGGGTAGCTAATGCCGCAGAAGACAGAATCAGAATTCAAAATGACCTGAACAGATTGGAGAACTGGGTGCAAGCTAACAAAATGAATTTCAGTAGGGACATATGTACGGTTCTGCACTTAGGCAGAAAGAACCAGATGCACAAATATAAGATGGAGGAGACCTGGCTTACTAGCAGTACACTGGTACCTCGGGTTAAGTACTTAATTCATTCCAGAGGTCCGTTCTTAACCTGAAACTGTTCTTAACCTGAAGCACCACTTTAGCTAATGGGGCCTCTTGCTGCTGCTGTGCCGCCGGAGCACGATTTCTGTTCTCATCCTGAAGCAAAGTTCTTAACCCGAGGTATTATTTCTGGGTTAGCAGAGTCTGTAACCTGAAACGTATGTAAGCCGAAGTACCACTGTACATGTGAAAAGGATCTAGTGGTCTTGGTGGACCATAAGCTTAACATGAGTCAACAGTGTGATGCAGCAGCAAAAAATGCTAATGCTATTCTAGGCTACATCAACAAAAGTATATTGTCCAGATCAAGGGAAGTAATAGTACCACTCTATTCTGCCTTAGTCAGACCACACTTGGAATACTGTGTTCAATTCTGGGCACCACAATTTAAGATGGATGTTGACTAGCTAGAGCATGTACAGAGGAGGGCAACCAAGATGATCAAGGGTCTGGAAACTAAGCCTTATGAGAAGCGCTTGAAGGAGCTGGGTATGTTTAGCCTGGAAAAGAGAAGACTGAGAGAAAATATGATAGCCATCTTCAAATATTTTAAGGGCTGTCACATGCAGCATGCTTGTTTTCTCCTGCTCTGGAGGGTAGGACTCAAACCAATGGCTTCAAGTTGCAAGAAAGGAGATTCTGACAAAACATTCAGAAAAAACTTTCTGACAGTAAGAGCTGTTCTGCAGTGGAACAGACTCCCACAAGAGGTGGTGGACTCTTCTTCCTTGGAGGTTTGTAAACAGAGGTTGGATGGCTATCTGTCATGGATGCTTTAGCTGAGATTCCTGCATTGCAGGGGGTTGGACTAGATGACCCTTGGATCCCTTTCAACTCCATGATTCTATGATTCTATGCTGGCCACAGCTCAATTGCCAGAAAATCTTTTAGCAGCAGCATCTACCATTATTTTCCTGGCTTCTTGATTATTTTAGTAGGGAAAATCATTCCAGTAAGCACACAAAGAGTTTAATGTTAACCCAAATAATGTTATATAAATAAGTTTACAATGTTATGTTAGTTACTATGGAATTACCCACCTACAATTTAAACTCTTTAAACCTCCAATTTTTTGGAGATTTAAGGAGCAGAACAGGGCTGCTTGCAAAGGGCTGCTCTTTGAAGTCCTGACAAGTGGGGCTTCAAAGCACAGCATCACCTGATGTCACTTTGTCAGATTGTCTGACGGATAGACAACGACCCTGCCCACATCTCAGTTTTGACCCACCAGAACCTAGCTTTATTAACAGGAACAATACTTCCTATCAAATTCTGGCAACACACTTTACATTATGAAGGGGATATTTCTTGCAGTACTGTAAAAACTTTATGTTAAAGGTGCATCTTAACTGACTTTGCGAGTTTCTCCTGGTTGTACCTGTTGGCTATATATATACATTGCCATCTGTTATGCTGACTGTTGTACCATTCATTTCAAATCAATAAAACATTGTGGGGGTTTTAAGTTGCCCCACAAGCAGTTGGCAGATAAAGATCTGGCCCACCAGCCAGAAAAAGTTCCCCATCCCGGCGTAAGACTCTGAATCTGGAGGATTTCATACATCAATGGATTGCAATAACATAAATCCTTGGGTCTACTCTGAGTATGGCTAACACTGGCTATCACCCAAAATATTTTTTAAAGTATTGGGTGGGTCTTGGGAAAATGGAGGCTCAAACTGAACTTTAGGACAAACACATGCCATGCTCATAGAAAGGTATGTTTTGACCTGTCCACATCCAAACTTGCATCTCATGTGGTGAGAGCTTGATGTGAACTGGGTTCAAGTCAAAAAGTAATTATTAAGTAATTGAATGACTCTCAATTTATGCTGGGGTTACATTCCAGGGATAGCACCTAAAGCCAAAATTAGATGTAGTCAAAACAAATTGGTCTCAACGGCAGATGGAATTGCTGAAACCCTTTTCCTGGATACCCGCCCCCTAATTTGCCAAGCGTGTAAAGCTGAATGTACATAAATTAAATGCACATAAGTTGCAAGTTATCTGTACACCCTTTTGAAATACAGATAATGAAATATAACTTGATTATGTTGTCAAACAGTTTACATCAATCAGATATTACAAAGCTGATTGATCGTGTTTTATATTCCTAGAATCTGTTTACTGCTTTCCTTAAAAAACTAAAACTTTTTCCACGGTCTTACCTCTACTTGATGTATTGCTACAGAAGCCCATGCAAGATTCGCTGTTGCAACCTGAAACAAAAGAAAATCCTTATTTCCTGAACTGTATTAGTGACCAGCAACTCTGCTCCTGCAATGCCCCGTTTCTGAGTCCTCCACTGGCTACAGCTGACAGTAACATAATTGGCAGCAGCATTACATAGAATCGTAGAACTGTAGGGTTATCCTCTACTCCTCTATCTGAAGCTGCAGCAGGAGCCTCAATACACAAGAGAAGAAGCTCGGTAACTTTCAACCAGTATGCGCAAGCATGCTGCTCATTCACATTCAACCACAGTTTACTTTCAACCATAGTTTATTTTCAACTTGATGTGACACGTCAACCAGATCAATGATTTGGCCCAGTGGAAATTGGCTTCATCCCTTCCCCAAATCAACATTCAAATACCCACTGTCACATTTAGGCTTTACCTCCTGATGGCTGAGGAGGAAGGTGTCATTGCCCCAGTGTCGATAAAGCTCCAGGATACCAATCAAGTCACCAAGTGTAGTAACTATTGGCAAACAAAGCACAGACTTGATGCGAGTTCCTGATTCCAGTCCAGTACCTTTGGGAAACCGCTCATCCTAGGAAGGCAAGCACAGTTTTAAACTTAATGGTGTGTGTTTTCCCCTTATCACTAAAGTTATGTCAGTTTTGCCTATAAATCTGGGATATCTTTGTTGAAATCTTGAGGACAAACTCACAGCCTAGCCTTCAGGTGTATTACAGATTCTGTTCAACATTGGCAAAGGGGTGTATAAAAACACTATCAATGCTAGGTCATGTTGATTTATAATTGGATTGTTTTTGTTCATTCTGAAACAGCCTGCATTTTGGGGGTTGCCCGATTCAGCTCAGGGTCTGAGGTTAGGTCCACTTCAGGAAAGAAATTGCACCATTGTTTAGGAAATACATGAAGAAGAATTACTGGGAAACTTGTTTGAAACCTCTTTTTTCTTGATTGAACTGATGATTTAAACCAATCCACTTTGCCTGAACAGAACTCACTCCCACGTAGGTATGAAAACATTTGCAGACTGACATTATTTTTTAAAAAGACAGTAATTTACCCCCAAAATATCTTCTACTAATAACGTTTTTCTAGATTTGGCTACATATGCAGATACTGTGGTGCCAAGCATAATGGGTCCCACAGGAACAAGATGTGGTTGTCCATCCTTCACTCCTGGTGGCGTGAACACACAGAGGCTCTAATGGGAGGAAGTACAAAAAAAGAAAACTGCATTTTAAATGTTTGACTCTTTCCATAGTAATCATAATGTTATACAATACTAGAACAATCCTGAAATCAGTAGTTTACATTCATTTACATATTTTGAAATGCTGAAATACGGCATTGTTATTTGGGGGCAGGGGAAGGTTAATTCACTATTTTGTCCTTATGAAACTTTTCCAACTCAACTGATTTTGCTAAATGATGCAACGCTCCAAATGAAAATAAGCATGGATGGAAAATTGCTATGGAGGTCATCATGTAAATGGAATTCTGCTTAAGGAATACTCTTGCCAATGGGAGCAAATTCAGAATCCCAGCCATTGCTTTTATAATAAAATCAGGCTGAGTTGTAAAGGAACTTCTCCCACTCCCCAAACAGTCTGTCAGGTAAGAGAACATGGTAGAAATAGCACTGTGCTCCACATTTGTTTGTTTTTGGAGATGATTATCATCCTCTGTACTAAGATACTTAGGGGGTAAGTACACTATTACTCACATATGCTTCTATCCTATTGCTTTCTTACCACAAACTACTACTTGGGTCCAGCAATTCCCTTCACACATAAAAAGTGAGGTGGAAAGACTTTGGGGAAATGCAGGGTTTAATCTTGCATAGAAAAGCACTGTTTCACTGAGGGATGGGGGAATGGTACTGAATAATGCTACTTTGGATCTTGTGCTGGGAGAAACTTTGTCCCCAGTGTGATGCAAGGAAGAAGGAAATGAGCTTCTTGGCTAAAGAGAATGTATATGATGTGTCTTCGGGGGGGGGGAGAGGAGGGATTCTGGTGGACTGCAGCCATTGCCAAGAGCAGCTGAAGAGTTCCAAGGGGGTTTCCCTGCCCATTTGCAAAGCCAACACATGGAGATGGGGATGACAACACAATGAGGCAATGCCAGTACTAGGATAATGCCAAGGCATATGACATATCAACTGGGAACTGCAGAATAGGCAGGGAGGAGAAAAACCAACTTTTGATGTAACAAGCTAAGGGCTGTTTGCCTGTGGGTCACCTTGAGCTTTAAACATGGTTTATTAACAAACACCATGCACAAACCATAACTTAGTATTACATATGAATGTGGCTATTGTGAGTTACTCTGAAAGCTCTGCTATAAAAGAAACCGTCAGCAAGAGCTGGGCTGTCAGCAAGGAATGCGGCTGTGAGTAGATTGGCGCACTGACAATGGCATGATCAGGAAACCACCAGCAAGTGTACTTGTATGCCTCAGATTTAGATTTCAGAAGTGCAGCAATGGCCTATTATGTGTCAATTTTATGCCCAACTATAGTTTAGCCCACCCCTCCTTCCAGGCGAAAATCCCATCATCCCTGATCATTGGCTGGTGGGGTTTGTATTCCAAAGCAACTGAAGGGCACCAGGTTGGCCTGATCCAGTAGGAATCTTCTTATGTTCTTAAACAAATAATGTTTTGCCTCATCTAATCTCTCCCCGACAAAAAATGCATGAAAAGTAAGTAACTCTGGCTTGAGTCTAAGGGTGTTTTGAATTGGCGGAAACACACTTTCACTTGCCCAAGGCAGCGCCCCCCCCCCAAATTCTGGTGATTTCTCCATTATGTACATCCCCAATGCCTCTTCCCACACCATCCTGGAAAGCCCCAAAGCCCCCAAGAGTGGCTTTGGGGAGCTGCAGAAGGTTGCAATGCAGAGGAGTTTCCAATAAAGTCCTGCTATATGAATAGAGTTCCACTTGCAGTTCTCTGAATTCAACCCATAAGAAATACAGTAATTCCCATTACTAGGTTCAGTAAGGGACAGCTATAAGCTATTCCATGCCATAAAATGTTTAGCAGAGTCACTAGGTGGCATGCGCATTGTGTAGAATTAAGTAAGAATTCAATGTTTTGTATTCTAGAATAAGAGCATAATAAATTCACCTTAAAGCATAAGCATGTATTGTTTCTCTGGCTTCTTACTACCATTTTCAGAGTAAATGTATAATGTCAACACGTACGGAAAGGAGAAACCTACCCAGCAGTGGCTGACAGGGCTGTGTTGCTGATCTGGGTTCCCAATGGCACACATTGCTGCCCTTCACTAGGAGGGAAAGGACCAAGGCAGTGGGGAGCTCAGCACCATGTGAACGTAATAGTAGGAGCTTAAGATTGACTCTGCTAAACTCCACAGCGCCTGGCCCCTCCTTATCTCAGTAACTGGCAGCCACATGTGGTGTTGAGAAGCCAACTCAGCAACATAGTCATGCCTACAGCACCCCGCCAGCCACTACTGAACCCATCTCATAGCTACATTGCTATTCTCATCCATTTGTCAGGGAGGTAATACTCACAATAATTCTTAGAAAGGAAGAAGTTATCAACTTTCAAACTCCAATAGATTGGTGTCACTAGAGGGCATATACCCAATAGTTCTTCAAGGACTTAAATGTGAATTCATGGGGGGAGGGGATTAAACAAAATTAAAATAAGCCTTCCTACAAGATGTTGGCCTATGAAACATACTTTAATTAGAGGAAAGCACTTTTCATTGCAGAATTGTTAGCTCTGTGGATAAATAGGGTATATAAAAGGAAACATGGTTTTTGCAAACGACCATGCTACGTAGGTTATTAACATTACCTGAAAATATCAACAAGGATGTAGACAAAGTGATCCAGAGAAAACCACGTGCTTGGTCTTTCACAAAAACAATTCATAGCTTTTCTCAAAAAATACCCCTAAGGTAACTTATGAGCCCCAGGATAAGGGATGGATCATGTTAATGAAGAAAAGAAATGGAAAAACTGGCAATTTTCACAATCAAAGGAAAACAGTAGTAGTCCTAAACTCAGAGGTCTATCCCAAGGAGTTCAATGGAAGTAGGTGTACTTAGAGCAGCAGCAAGAAGTCAACCCATGACCTTTTCCGGTTTAGTAATACAAATTTAAACAAAGCTATTAATTAATTGAGATTCTTTTGGTAGGTCAGCAGAGAACAATTTGTTCATCAATACAGATTGTTAGCTGCATTTACAGAACCACATCTCATAATCAATGCATAGCTGGTTAACCCCTGTTAAACCTTCGACAGTACATTGCATTAAGTGGCTTGCAGATGGGAGTTCTTTACATACTTACATTATTGCATTCACCCAGGAAATACAGTGCAAATCCATCAGCATTTGTAGCTGCCAAAGAACAATTAAAACATTAAGGAAAAGACTGATATACTTGCTGAGGTTATATAGGGCATGCCCAGCTAGCTTTCTTTATTAATCTTTTATGAAGAACTATACTAAACTATACTTCACCAAAAACGAAGTTTATGAATAACACAAAGTTACTTTATTACATTCATAATATTACATTCATATTACATTCATCTGTGATGCTGTTTACATAAAATATGTTCTCAATGGAATCTGGCATAAAATATATGTTAAAACATTCTATTTGTAAGCTCCTAGCTATGGACACAACAAATTATACAATGATCTTGTTTTGTTCAGTGAGCGAATATCTAAGTATAAACTGAAAATACAAGACAAAACTTTGAAAGCTAGAAAGAGCTTCCAGTGGTGGGGGCGGGTCTAGGGGGGAGATTTTCAATGTCTTGTATAGTTACCATCAAAGCCATCAGTCTTGTCGTATCACTAATTATTCCACCAGCTCCTGTTAAAAACCTGCAATCTTTTTCAACCTGCCTTGATTCTCATTCTTCTTTGCATTGCCGGAAAAAAGGTAAGAGCAAGATGAAAATCTGAATCATGTGAACAAAACTGTTATGCAAAAATAATCTGCTCCACCTATTGTTAATTATAATTATCGTTTACATTTGTATTCCATTTTTTTTCCTTTAAGTGCAATGCAATGATCTTCAACCTCGCCCAATGAACTACTTTTCACAACTGCCCTCTAAACCAGGGGTTGCTGATCTGGTGCATGTGGATGAAGGCCTTTCTTTGGTGACCCTGGGATAAAGCATAATCCCTAGGTGCCAAGCTTTCTTTTATTTCCTTTATGTAAGTTTCTATTATTTTTAGAACCTGAGATAGGAGGCAAAACGCAGACACCATTCTTCACATTTTTTCCATGGGAAATCAGCCTGATCCAAGCTTTCAGTGTTTCGTTTTATCCTCTGCTGAAAATACCCCTGCTCGAAAAATTCCTGTAGACACCCATGTGTGTGAGAAAGGGGGGGTGAGAAGCACCAGGGAGAGGAGGGAGAAATGCACATGTAGCCTCTATAGACAAGAGGCTCTGTAGATAGGTAGTCATCAGTTGAGAGGGAGAGGTGGGTGGATGGGGTTGTTTTGGCTTTTTGCAATTTTGAAACCATGAAGGAGCGTCTCCACCCCCATCATTCAGCCTGGACACTAAGGTCCAGCGCTGAGGGCCTTCTAGCGGTACCCTCACTGTTAGAAGCAAAGCTACAGAGAACCAGGCAGAGGGCCTTCTTGGTAGTGGCGCCCGCCCTGTGGAACGCCCTCCCATCAGATGTCAAGGAAGTAAACAACTACCTGACATTTAGAAGACATCTGAAGGCAGCCCTGTTCAGGGAAGTTTTTAATGTGTGACATTTTAATGTATTTTTAATCTTTGTTGGAAGCTGCCCAAAGTGGCTGGGGAAACCCAGCCAGATGGGTGGGGTACAAATAATAAATTATTATTATTATTATTATTATTATTATTATTATTATTATTATTGGGGGAAATAGTTTTCTTCCAGGGGCTTCAGTGGGTAAGGGACTGATTTTTTTAAAAAAACTGGAAAAAATGCAATACTGTGTTTGTTTTCTTAAGTACTCTTTTTTAAATGTATTGTCTTTTTAAAATGTATTTAAATGTAATGTCTCTCTCTCACACACATTTTTTCCATGTAACATTTTTACAAATCATTTTCATTTGTTGAGACATTAGGAAGAAAAGGGGGAATCCCAGACTGCACTCCTTGGCCAAATACTGGAAGATATTCTATACTCTGAAACATTTGAAAGTACCTTTCCAACATTAAGCCTTAAGTGCACTGCTTGTTTAGTAATTCAGTCAAATACAGAAGCATTTACTGTATATTTCTGCCTTTGAATCTTGGATCCAACATAATAAACATAATAAATGTTTTCTTACCCATTTGAATGATGCTACTCAATTCATATAAGAGCAGTTGATTGTGCCCTCCTATATCCATCCGCTGCTCTATAAAGCCGTTCAGGTCATATACCACTGCTTGGATATCAGGATTCTGGTACTATTGAAAAACAAGCACATATTGAAGAACTATTAAAACTTTTATGAAAAATCAATATGATCAGACGTTATTTGGTGTTTTACAGCTCCTATTTTGGAAATAGGTTTGGTGTTCTTAATTGTTTAAATTTTAATAAAAATTATTAATACAGCAGCAGCAGCAGTTGGTTAATCTAAAGCAACAGAAAACCCAAAAGAGAAAGTGAAGTCAATGCTTAAGGAGAAGGAAGTCAGGGAATAGTGAAGCACAACAACCTAAAGATACTCTCCTTTTCTATTAGCACAACAGAAGTAAATAATAATAATAATAATAATAATAATAATAATAATAATAATAATTTAAAGAAAGAAAGAAAAAAGAAAGAAAGAACTCTCATAGCTCAGTGGCAGGGCCCATGCTTTGCATGCAGAATATTCCAGGATTAATCTCTGGCATCTCCAGGTAAGGCTGAAAACCCTGCAGAACTGCACTTAGCTCAGTGTAGACCACAGACTGGATCCAACCAATTATGTTTGCCTACAGTGTGTAGGCCCTACACAGATAAACATTTTGGCAATGCTAACTGAAGAATCAATATACTGATTTCTTACATGGCAGAACTTTCATATCAGGTTTATATTGAAAACTATTAACCTATGATCCTTTAAAAGCAAGGATCACAAATTCTTTGAACTGTGCATGGTTCAACTGCAAACTAACATCTAACATGAACAAATATAGTCAAAACTAATTGTAAATTAAGTGAAAATTTCTTAAACTAATTCAGCTATCCATGTAAAAGAATAAAAGAACAGTATTCTTTCTGAGCACAAAATTTTAAACTACTTGTTCAATTTTAAACAGCCTAAATGTGTGTGTGTGTGCATGTGTGTGTGTGTGTGTGTGTGTATTAAAACATTTATATATATTTTTTAAAAAGCTTCCATTTTTTAGATGATTTAAACCACACTTTCAGGGTAATTTCTTTGCTGTTCATAACTACATGAAAAAGTTCCTCTTTGCATTTCTTAACAGTGATAAAGGAGTGAAGGACCTGAAATATTAGATCATAAAATGAAATTAAGAGTGCTTTTTACACTTGACAACAGAACAAAGAGTATTTAAAAAGTGACATTTTTAAGTTTTAAAAAGGTGCTGTTTTCATTTAAAGGCTAATGAGAGCAAGACAGAGGGAGCGTTATTGCAATTCTAAATTTAGAGCTTAGGATAAATTTCCAGATAAAGCAGAAAATGGTCTTCAACTTATATATATATATATAGTACTGAGAAATAAAATACCATAATTTAAATTTCCATATTGCCAAGGCAATACATTAGTAAAGTATAATTTCCACATCTTTCTGTCTATGACTTGCCCATCAGCCAGCCATAGAGTCACCACTCCTTCTCCTCCCAGTTCAGTTGGTGGAGGGGGGGGTCAAACACAAATCCCTGGACACTCCATTCCTCTCTGTTTTCATCCCCTTTTCTCTCTCTTCCTGCCATGTCAAGGGATGCATGAAATTAGACTGAGGCCACATGAAGCCCTAGGGCAACACACTCCTGCCTTATGCTCTCACATTTCAGCTTCAGATTAAGAGTTAGACAAATAGCCAGCTGAAAGTTATGGAAGAAAACCCCAAGTAAATGCATTATAGATAACTTACTGGGGATGATGAGCTGAATGACAAGTATAACTTAAAAGTGCACATCTTCTAATGTATAATACACAACAGCAGAAGATTCTACACCCACAGGGCACATGTAACCAAGTCTAAATATGGCTGAATGCCAAGGAAGAAATGTGAGCAAGCACATACTGCCAAATGAGCAACTTGTCTCTCTCAAAATATATATGCATTCTCCTCCATGATATGTCTTCAATATTTTCTCACAAAGACGGCAAAACCTAAGCCTGCTTGATGGAACTATCCTATGCATAAATTTCAATGGGTGTTACTACCAGTGTATATAGGATTGCAGTCAGTTGTTGTGAATGTTTCAGCCTCACTGTTGTAATTTCCTCCAGCACAACACAGCATAGCACAACAGTTAGGAAACAATAACACTTCACTTCACAGAAGTACAATTCCCAGGATCCCCTGAAGAAGCCAGAAAGTGTAAACATTTATAGTGTCCATGTGCCCTTAAAGAGATACAGCAGCAACGCATGAGAGAACTACTAGCAACAGATGGCAATGTTTTATTGAAAGCATGCCACAGCAATCAGTGAAGTACTTCAACAGTTTTCCTAGTGCTATCTTCAGTTTGGCATAGGGGGAAAGAGCTGGAACTATAGGAAATAAAATACATGCAGCATTCAATGGCTAAATTTCACACAGCTGCATCTCAAATTACCAGCATCAGGTGGGATGTGTATTTCTTAAAACGACTGCAAAAATTACAGAAAAATAACACCTCATGTTGATATTTCTCTAACTAATCCTTAGCAGTGAACTGAGATCCACCTGTAGTCTAGAAAGCTCTGTGCTAAGATGGGAGAAATAAATAAAGAGAAGGGATTATAGCATGGTAAGAAAGGAAGGGAAAATGTCTGCAATTTCCACTCCCTGACTCATCAATCAGAAAATGCAAAAACATTCTACTTGGAAAGAGCAGAGGTGTGTTGCAAAGAAAATCTCATGAAAGTATTTTCCATTTTTGAGGGGCTGCATTTTATATTGTGATTAAGCGCATTTGTACAGTAGGACTCCTACAGCTCAGATTGACAGTGATATCATACCAGTAGAACAAAGACTGCTTGGACAAACTCACTCCAGAAATTATGGCAGGACACTCTGATTTAATAAGAACTAAGAGTCTAGTTTTTCTTTTTACTGTTAGTCAGGTTTTTATGGCACACAGGGAAATGGTTTAGCTAGAAAATTTTAAGTACATTTCCATTTTAAAACTTTTAATAATTTAAGGCATTTCCATCAATGAACTACTTTTCAAAACAGTAAGATGCTTTTTATTCAGTGATTTGCTCACAATATGCATAATTTGGGAAATGGTTTACAATGTTGCAACATTTCCAGCATACCATTTTTTCTTATCAATGTTTCAAGTTGGCATTTGAAAGGAATATGTTCTGTAAATCACAACAACCAAAAATAACTTGAGCAGGTCTCAGTTCAGAAACTAATCAGACCTTTACATGGTAAAGGATCAGCACCAATTTTACCTTCACAAGTATACATAAAATCATATATAATGTAGATACCCAATTATAAGCAATTCAGGATAGCTTAATCTCAGGGTTCCGAGTTCAAGCCCAACAATAGGCAAAGAATTCCTGCATTGCAAGAGGTTGGACTAGATGGCTCTCAAGGTCCCTTCCAATGTTACAATTTGTACAGTTCTTTGTTACAAAGTTCAGGAAGATCACGTAGGATTGGGTACCTATTTGGTGTCACTCATTCCTTAGCTAAGCCTAATAGATTCAAATGTTGCTCCATATGCAATTGCATGAGAAATCTGGAAATATTAATTCTTCTGGCTGAGATTCAGAGAGCCCTTGAATTATACACTGGGATTTCTGTATTCACGGCAGCACTCTGGAACACACAATAGCCTCATTCAAAGTTAACAAAAGCAGTGTGGATTATTTAGGGGAAAACGGCACACTACATTGCAGCCATGTGTGACATTAACCTGACATTCCTTCTATACTGCAAAATGCTCTTGGAAGGGGGTGATTTGCTGACAAGGGATTGGGAGGGGGGAAAGGAAGTTTTTAACCAGGCATGTTGCCCCTGGAACTCCCCCAGCTGCTTTTGCCCCAACCTAGTGCCTGTGAAGTATGCACAGATCCAGAGTACAACGGTTTGAGCAGGGCAGTTTAAATAAATAGTAATAAATTTTATTTATACCCCACCCTCCCCAGCCAGAGCCAGGCTCAGGGCGGCTAACACCAGTAAAATTACAGTAAAAACATAATAGGGGGAAAACCCAATTTAAAATACAGGTTAAAATGCAATTTAAAATGCAGCCTCATTCTAAAAGTAGCCCATAGATCAAAACCATAAGGGTCAGACTGAGTCCAAACCAAAGGCCAGGCGGAACAGCTCCGTCTTGCAGGCCCTGCAGAAAGATGTCAAGTCCCACAGGGCCCTAGTCTCTTGCGACAGAGCGTTCCACCAAGTCAGGGCCAGTACTGAAAAGGCCCTAGAGAAATGGTGGCTGCCTAAGCCATCCCTTACCTCATGTTCCTTCTACAATGCAAATGATTTCCTCTTGAAAACACTTAGCAAGAGAGAACCAGCTGCCACAGCTAGAGCTAAAACAAGTATCTGAAAGGTGAGAGATGGAAATGCACACTCCGCACTCAAATAGACTAGGATCCAGCCTCCAATGGGCCTTTTCTGCCCTCCACACCTGCTAGCCATTCCCCCTTCCTCAAAGGAAGGCTTTTTTGCAGGTTGGAAGGAGGGAGGAGGAAGTTTTCACAATGCAAGGCAAGAGGATGGAAAGAGTGATGAAACTTAAGTAATAGGGGATTTTTGTTTTTTCAAACTCGCTTAATTTCCAGGGCAAGCTGGGGGTGGCTCACACATCCCTAATCACAGTTTCAATACATTTGGTTGCAATGTACCATGTCCTTATTTACTTCTTAAGGCTCTGAATGGTATTTTAATTGGTCTGAAAGTTGTTAGTGTGCTCACCAGCAATTTCTCTGGAGCTAATTCAATGAATGAAGTGCAACGCATCAGGAAATTCATTTCAAATCAACAGAAGGCTGCTTGGACAGTTTTATGTTCTGGGGAACAGAGACACACCTGTACGGTACTTACCCTGCTGATATGCTTAGGAGTCGAAACATCTGTAAGAAAAGGAAGCAAACAATTAGATGCTCCTGGAAAGTTCGGGATAATTTTAATTTTCAAAAAAAATCCAACGTTAAACAATCCTACTGCTGCTTTCAGTGTCTATTACATCACAATATATTTCGAATTGTTTTATTCCACATCCTTATTTTCAGTAGAATACTTAATTTTGGCAAGTTTTAAGAATTCAAATCTATTCAACATATTAATCTATGGCTCATATTTGCAGCTTGCACTGGGGGAAAAGTCACACTTCTATGCTCCCTGAATCTACAAGCCAGACCCTTGGGCACATGTCCATCTTATGGCACCTCAATGCTACTAAAGGCGCTGGTAAGAAGGTACGATATCTGAATTGCAAATTCCCATGACATTCTTCCCTGGTGCACCCAGCCAAACAATGGGCAAGTGGAAGTTACCAGAGGCTGCAGCCCCACCAGCAGCAGGCATAGGAAACCTCCCAGTTTGAGGCATTTTGTGGGAGGGCATGCTGCCATCATATGACATCAGTGGCTCTGATCCTTTGCTGCCCCATTCTGGGAACTGGCACAGTGAAGGGGCATTTTCTTCCCTGCCCACCTTCTGCCTAGGCCACCATGAGTGCCAGGCTAGGGGTGGTCTGGCTCTTTAACCTTCTGCCTTAAACAAGACACATGAAACATATTGGTGGAATAGAGCTGAGAAGTTTTCTTATGCCTTCTCTAGCAACACTGCACCAACTGAGTGCTGACACAGCCTGGTCCAGAGAAGGAAGACTCATGTCTAATAATGAACTCTTTATTGGCAAGAGAAGCACTTACAGCAGCTTCCACAGTGCTCTTAACCTCTAGGCAACTGTCCACAGGTCTGCCCTATGGAGCAGGTGCAGCAACAGTGGGGCCACTCCCCTCCCCTGCCTTATATACCTTCCTCTGACAGGTTGCATGCCCACAGCATGAGACTTCTCCTGCATGGAAGTCATTGCTGCTCTTTCCTTTTCAAGCCCCTCCTGGTGAGACACTGGGATGGGGGAAAGTGAAGAATCTACTAATCCATCCCACACCAGAACCATCCCTTCTTCCTCCACCACATCCTGTGCACCTTCCTCCATCTCCAAATGCCCTGAGTCTCACTTCCCTGGCTCCTGCCTTGCAGGTGGTGTGACACCCCATAAATCACTGGCCCCCTCTCCTGGGTCGCTCCCCTGGTCCTCTGTCTCTGCTGCACACTCTTTGGAGCCTGCCTGCCAGATTACTAACCCACCACATATATATGGAATTATGAATTTTAAAATTGAGGACATGCTTATGGGATGGGGCAATACCTAGGGGAGTTTCAAGTTGCTAAGAACTGGTGTTTTACAGACCAGCCAAAGTCTACATTTGGCTCAGTCACATAAGAACAAATTGTAACAGTCTCTGTGTTTTGTTTTCGCTATACTGTACAATGTTTGGAAAGATTTCAAGCTGAATGCAAATGGTTGCTTTTCCTCACTAATCAGTGTGATGTTCTGACTGATGTGTCTTTTTTTTTCACCTGTATGCGTTGAGGTTCCTTTATACAAAAAAAGCCAAAACAAAATAACCATGAAACAATAATCCTGCATGATTAAAAACAAGAGTAAATTCCTGTAACTTCTCTCCTCCTAATGTTAATCTGTCACAGAATATAAAATATATTGGCTCACTGGCTCACTTGGTTTCTGTGTTCTTGAGTACATTGAAAACAAACAGACTTTTGCTGAACTTTGCAATGCAATCCTCAACATCTGCAGAAAAGTCAAGACTGAACAGTTCCCTCTTTTCAGACCAGCTGACAAGAGAAACAAAAGGAAATACCCCTTGGGAATTGTCTGCTAACGTCAACAAGGGTAAGGGGATCATTAGCAGTAGAAATGATAGGTTACCACATGGGAGAGAGCAGGAATCCAATGTAGAACAGATTTACGTCAAGGGAACTATTTCATTCTCTCCGAAGGAACCCTACTGTAACTACAACATACGTACATTTGTACTAAAGACGTATTTTATGCACTGTACTCTAGGGACTGAAAATATGACACTGAGCAAATGTTCAAATGTCCTCTTTACAAACACGAGCACTGGAAAAATGACAAGAACATACATTCCTTTATTTCTTCAGGATATTTGAACAAATCTGTTTTGAATAATACTCTACCTTTTTCCTAAGGGCTTATCCGCACTTCCTCTTGTCCTGCTGCTTTCCCCCCAGGGAAAACCACTCTTTAGGACTCATTCAGAGCAAATGGCAATTCAGGTTCTCTCCAGATTGAGATTTGCTCTCATTTAGCACTAAAGAGTGGAAAAGGAGTGGGACAAAGGGATGAATGCTGTGGAGTAAAGATTCATGGTAGAACAGAACAGAACAGAATAGAATAACTGAGTTGGAAGAGACCCTGAAGATCATCTAGTCCAACCTCCTGCAATGCAGGAATATGCAGCTGTCCCTTATGGGGATCGAATCTGTGACCTTGGCATTATTAGCACCACACTCTAACCAACTGAGCTATCAGCATAATAAAAAAACACTCAGTGGAGAAAATAATTAAACATGTAACTAGAAAAAAGCATGAAAATTATATTATTTCATGTGACATGTTCATTTCATCTCTGAAATACATAGAAGAAAAAGAATGCAACTCTAAAATGTTTTTCTCTTCACGCATTTCTCTGTAGCCTCCCTATCTTTTCTTCCAAATGAATTTATACCTGCCACAAGTCCCTGAATTTAATGTTATATAGCAGCAACCTCTCCAAACAGAATTAAGAGCTTTCACTTTACTGTAACACAGAAAGGGCAAAAGCCTTTAAAATGTTTAGGAGCGAGGAGACTCTCTATATACAGGACAACCCGAACTGTTACTTTGTGCCGCGCCTGCTTTGCTCCTGCAGGCTGCTCAGCTCAACATTCAGTGATGAATTCCCTCAAGGGATCTTCTGAGGCTGTTTCATCACAGTGCTTTGTTCTATGACAATAGAGGTGTGCTCACCTCTGCAGAGAGAAAGCAGCCTTGAAGAAGCGAGGCTGTTTTATGCAGGCGGATGAGTCACCTCTGAAGGTCCAAGAGGCTCCCACCGCCCCCACTTTGTAATGAAGTTCTTGTATCAAAATTTAAGAGCAAATGTCAATAAAATGAAAACAGACATCAACGGTCTTGGCAAGCAAGTACAGAGATCACATTGACTGTGGTGAATAATATATTAAATTACACATTGTTTTTATTGCATCCCAGTAAACTCTAAAGCCGGATCTGGGTGGAATACTGGTCCCTGGGATATGAGGTCTGGTAGGATTGGGAGTGTCCATGCAGTGATCACTGTCAGAACTAGAAACTCAAAGAAACAAAGACGCTGGGGCCTATGGCGGGCACCACTAGGACTAGTTGTGCCTGTTCCCATATCTTGTACAGAATTCTTGGTAGGATCACCACCAGAGGAAAAGCATAATGGAATCCAAGAGGCCATGGTGATATCAGAATGTCCCAGGCCTCTGCTCCTGGGTCCTGGAACCTCTAGTAGTAGTATGGGAGGCAAAGAGGTCTACATTGAAGGGCCCAGGGTTCCCTGAAGGTGTCTGAACACCAAGTTGTGAAGCATCCATTCCCTTGGATCCAGCCTGGTGCAACTCAGACAATTGGCCTGTGTGCTGGATGTACCAGAGATGTGTTTCAGAGAGATGCTAAAGAGATGCTTCTCTGCCAAGAACAGGAACAAAGTAGTCTCTTGTTGCAGATCTGTTTTGGTCCCTCCTTCTCTGTTTATCTAGGATTGCACACTCATGTTGTCTGTTCTAATCAAGACATGGGGCAGGCACCCGCAGCAGAAGTATTGAATGGCTAGTTGTGCTACAGAGAGTTTGAGCCACTTGACGCTGTGTTGGAACTTGGTGGCTGTCCAGTCCACTGAGATTAACTGTCCCTCGCAATGTGCTCCCCAGTCTTGTAGGCTTGGTATCTGATGTTATGGTTCTTTGGTAGCCAAACCTTTCCAAAGGTTGGTCTCCCTGGTCCACCAGTGCATGCTCTCTTGTAAATGGGAGGGATTGGAACATAGAGATGATTGCTGTGGATAATCAACCACTGGTGTGGTAAGAGGAACCACTGAAGCGGTCTCACGTGCAATTGGGCCTGTGAAGTGAATTGTGAGGCCAACATGCATAGACCCAGGATACAGGCTAACAACATGATGTCCATCCTCTTGGACAATATCAATAGTTTGGCATCAGCTTTAATCTTGACTGGGGTAGAGAGAGGAAGATCTCTGGGCCTGTGTTGAAGTGGAGGATGGGCAGAAGGATAATCCTCAAAGCCCAGGAAGGAGAGGAATGACAAGCCTATGTCACAACCTGTGCTGAGCTAGTTTCCTCTGGGGCACTGAACTGGACATGCAGTGGCCAGGAAACAGCAGGGAGAACAAGGGTAACTGGTCTTACGTTCTCTCTAGAACGATGGGTCCACTTCTCCTGCTTTTCCCACCTAAACTGCTTCTGCACTACACTGGCAGTAGACTGTAGATGCTTCGTGTTTCACAAAGCCTTATGGGGCTGCTGGGTCTCTTATGGGGCTGCTGTGAGCCCAAAGAGGCCATCTCACCCTTTAAGGGAGGGCAGTCTTATGAGGGAACAGAGGGTCACCACACACAACTGCTGCAAGGAAGCAGTGGGTCCCAAAGGCCTGATTTTGCCTGCTCAGGAGCACTGGGCCCATCTGGGCCTTGTCAGGAAACCCTTTCTGTCATGGATTGCAGGGGGGGGGTTGGGGGAATCTTGACAAACATAGTTGTGCCTGTAAGAATCCTCTGGTACCAAAGGGATGCAATCTGTAACCAAAGCTGCAAAGGGCTGCTCTGATTTCCAGGGTGGGGGCAAGCACTGCCACAGCCACTTGCAGAGCTTCCAGGAAGCTTTCTAGCATCCTAGCTGCTGCCAAGCTCAGCCCACAGCCATGATCGGTGAAATCAGATAAAAATTGTAGCCAGGAGTAAACGCCCCAGGCAAGCTGCCTGCTTCTCCCTCTTCTGAAGAGGGGAAACAGGAAAGGGGGAAGAGAGATCTAGAATTTTTCTTTTTTTAAGAAATAAGAATAAGAAGAGGGTTAAAGAGTGAAGTGAGGAAGAATAAGCTAACCCAAGATGATGAAATAAGAAGAGCCAAAGGCAATGCGACTGCTTTATCGAGGCAAGAGCAAAAAACTGAAGAAGGGACAGCCTATCTCCTTGTAATAGCTACTCCTGCCTTTGCCCACTAGAGGCACAAGGAAGCCCAATGGCTGTGCTTGTAAGTCAAAATAACTTCTCAGAAAGGAGGAGGAGAAGACATACTTACTCTCCTTCCTTGGAGGTTTTTAAGCAGAGGTTGGATGGTCATCTGTCATGGGTGCTTTAGCTGAGTTTCCTGCATTGCAGGGGGTTGGACTAGATGACCCCTGGGGTCCCTTCCAACTCCACGATTCTATGATTCTATTCCTACAACTGCATGTTCAAAAATGTATGGAAATACAATTCCAGAATCAGCCCAATCATCAGGAGAATGATTCCAAAAGTTACTGAGATATTACCTTCCTCTGTGTTGTGTTTCCTTCTCAGCCATTTTTCCACTGTTTCAGCACTTACACTTTCTGACACAAATTCATCCAGTACCTGGGGATGGAGAGAAAGATAGGCCTTCACTTTTTCATCTGTCAAACCTGAAAAAGAGAACATTGCTGTTTATACTATGACTATTTTAATGAGAAATGTTATGGAAATAACAAAAAAGACAATCAGGAATGAGCTCTGTTGTGCCATGTACATCAGAATCACCTGGCCTGAAAACTTTGCAATAATTCAAAAGGTGATAACAGAAAGATATAATGGAGGCCTGCAGTCTGCAAGTAACAAATTGCATGAAAGTCCACTAACTGACCACTATGAAATCAACCCATGAGCAGAAAGCTAAAGGTAGGCAAACAGTTGCTGAGCCACTGGCAAATGCAAACCAATGTGTAAATATGAAGGGCCAAGTGTCTGGAGGACCTTGAAAGAGAGCCAAGTAGACAAGTAACTAAATGGATTTAAAAAAAAAAATTAAAGCAACAACTTTAATTAATATAAACATGTATTAATTAGTGTGCGTTTTGTTAAAGTAGAAACAGACTTTTGAGGAAACATTGCACTGAGTTGACAAAGCAACACTTAAGTGATTTCAGATACATGTGTCTGAACAAGTTTCAGATGTCACATGAAAAATCGGGGGGGGGGGCAGATCTAAAAATAAAGATTACCAGACATTTGCTATATTTCAAAAAGTGAAAATCAGGACACAAGGTGTTGAGCTTCCGATAAGGGTTGCCAAATTTTCCCACACATTTAAGCAATTTCTACCCGGACACTGTTTCCAACTGCTGTGTTCCAGTTATGTCCAAGAAATTCCGGACGTATGGCAGCCCTATTCCCACCCCACCTCACCTGCGTGTGTGCTATCCATTGATATAGATCTAAGAAGCAATAGTGGATGCACATGGGTTGAAAGCAATACACAAGTCTCTACTGCTAAGTGGGGGGCGGGGGAGCGAAGAAATTGCCATTGCCAGATAGCACTGTGTGATAGCAACTGAATGATGGCGTGTACTAGGACTCCTCTCAGCAGCACAGTGCAAGGTCATGACCTGGAGAGTACCCTATTCATCTCATAAAACAAAACAAAATAGGAGCTATTTCCAAATATATTTCTTCTTCGAAAGAAAAGCATACGCATACGAATAGAGACAAGTATGCACACACACACACACACACACAAGCAGAGTAGTTAAGATTTGGATATAACCACAGATCTCAAGTTATTGCACTGAAATGAAAGAGAAAGTGGAATCTTATAAAGGAGGTATTGTGATGATTTTTTTTTCAAAGGAAAGGAATTGTACTTAATGAAAATATACCATGTCCCACTGCAATGTCACCAGGTTCACTCCATTGGAATTACAATTGGCAAAAACTAATAAAGCCTGCAAACGGTACACATGTAGTTGGCTACTTAAGTAGACATGGCCCAATTCTGAGCTTGAACCGTTGTTGCTCTTCAATGGTTCAAATGTGACTTTCCCACAAGTTCCAAAAATGAAACAGGGCAACAAATCTCTGCCAGCATAATTCAAGCTTGACCTAGCCTCACACATCTTCTAGTCATTACACAAAGACAGAGGTGCTAGTTCCAACAGTATTTATTCCCAGAGAAAAATGGCCAAAAAGCTCCCTTCATAAGTTTCAAACACAAGGCAAAAATCTTGCATGAGAGTACTGACAAACCTCCTAAAGCTGGTCCACCTGTTTTGTGTGTCACGATTCATCCCTGCTTGATTGTTGATATTGTTGAACCACAGCTCCCATCATCCATGACCACTGGTCATGATGACTGTGGCTGATGGGAGTTGTAGTCCCAACAACATCTGAAGCATACCAAACTTAAAGAAATTGGTACTAAACAAGTTTGTACTAGGAATGTTTCTTGCCTGCTTTGAATAGACAAACCAGCAAGTATGTCTGTCTTTCGTGCCTGCAACTTGTACAGCAGGAATGGGAAATCTCCAGATGTTTTGAGGCTATTGCTCCCATCATACTGGCCAAAATGTGAGTTAGCATCCTACAGCATCCTAAAGCTGCAAGTTCCCTATCCCTGTTCTACAGCATGAAAATAAAGACTCTCACTTTAAAGATAACGAGCGGGTAACAGCGGCAAACAATAGCACAGTTCTGAGAGTACTGAAGTAATCAAATACACAAATAAACTGAAAGCAATAATAATAGCCTGACAGACATGGTAGAATTTTAAACAGAAAATGTTAACATACATGACAGAATGTCATTATTCATGACAGAGTCATTTCTGTGTCCTCACTTACCCTTACTTAAAGCCCATTGATGTCCACGGTCCTGTTTATGCATAATAATCACAGGATCACAGTCACTGAGACTAAAACAAGTATCTTCAAAACACTGTACTAGAAAAACAACAGCTTACATTTAATAATAATTTTTTAAAAAGCAGCTCTGGTCGCCTCATAACTTTGAGTTTAGCATGCAAGGTTTTCCTGATCTTACAAGTTTTTCATTGCAAAAATCCATTTCCTATCTTCACGTTGCAAGAGCAATACGATACAAATATTTTTCAAAGGTGTGTCGGAAACAAGTGCAGCAAATCGCCTAGAGGGAGTAAGTTGCATGTTTTCACAAACAGAAAACACACTGAATACAAAAGTGATAATTAGTTCTGCTGGGGACAGAACTAATTAGAATAACTCCTTAACTACTGCTTCTCACTGTGAATGCGTGGATAAGAAACATTTGTTTTAGCACAAATAATAAAAAATTATTCCTTCATCATCATTATTTCTACAATAATAATATTTTTATGTAATGCTTCTAAAGCATTCAAAACACTTCATATACACTCATAATCCTTATAACAACTGACTTGTAAAGTCAGTATTATTCTTATGGGGGTATTGTGGCTGAGAGATGTACCTTATTTATGCATTGCTCATGTGTAGTACAACTGGGTGTCAGGGGACTCAGCTACACAGCTGCAAATAAAACGTTTTAAATGTGTTGTAAAGTGCAATATACAAATGTGACACAAGACGGCGACAGTGAGCTATGGCAAATTCAATGTATTTTTCAAAACTTTTTTTAAAAAAGCATTTTCACAGCATTGTTTATATGTGTGTAGATTCCATCCTGAAGTAACATCTAGGCACAAGGAGCGTCTAGCAACTCTGCCATTCTATTCAGACAATTGCTCACAATGCATGTTTGTCAGGAGTAAGACTAAAGGTGCGGCCCCACTCTGGTCTGTGAACATGGCCTGTAAGCAAGTTACACATGTGCAGGGATACATGGTCTGCCTAAGGCTACCTACCTAGTGAGCTTTGAATTATAGACTTACCAGCTCAGAGCGCCTTTTATCAGCTTTGGGTCATAAACTTCACACTTAACTAGGTAGAGATAGCCTTGCCAGTTATCCATGTTCTTGCTACCTTCTTGTTAATATTTTATTACAATGCGCTTTGTGTGGAGCTGGCTTCAAAAACAGTCTAGAATTTTTTGTCAGTCCAAAATAGGGTGGCAAGCTTGTTAACTGGGACTGGGGGATCTGACATTACTCCTGTCCTCCGAGAGTTGCCTCCCAGTGTTTCTTGGCTCAGTTCATGGTGCTGGTTAAGTCCTGCATCATTTGCTGATAGATCACCTCCTCCCACATATAGCTACGCAGACAATGAGGTCACCTCTGAAGGCCCTTCTCCAGGTGCCCTCACCAAATAAGGTGAAGCAGTTGGCCACCAGGAAGAAGGCTTTGTTGGCTATAACACCCTGATGATGGAATGTCCTCTTCAGAGAAGCTCTCTTGGTGCCCACTATATCCTTTTTGATATGAGGACATTCTTATTTCCCCAGAATTCTAAGCAGATTTTTAATGGCTCTCTAGCAGCATTTAATGGATGAAATTCAACATGGCACTAAGAGGGTTTTTTCATCAATGCATGCATTTCTGCTTGTCAGACAGAACCATGTCTCCTCTCCACACCCACATTGTTCTGTTGGTTCTCCTGACCCTCCAGAGCAGATTTTCTTCTGGGAGGGAACATTGGGGGGGGAGCTCTTGTGCACTAGCTGGAGTCCTTCTGCTGGCTTTCACCAACACGCCAGGCTAGTTGAACCCAGTCAAATGTTTTTGCTTTTAGATCTGTTGCACTGGTTGAGAATTCTGTTGCATTGTTTTATTCTTATGCTGCCTAATACTTTTCAATGCCACATTCTGCATTTTAAAATTTCTAAATTGTATTTTTAGAATATTTTAACTGATCATTGTCAGATGGCCAGGGAAACTTTGGTTATGGAGCAGAATATAAATGTAAGTGAAATCTCTTCTGCTTTTAAGTTATAGCCAAAGCATGTGTATACCACAGTTTAATATTCCTGCTGAATGATGGAATCTAGTGCTAAGAACACCCAGGATTGCTTCAAGAGAGTTTGTTTTATTTATTTATTGTTTTATTCAAGAGAGTTTGTTTTATTGTTTCCAGGGAGATTAGAGGACATTGGGTGTTTACTGAGCATTCATTCTGATTAGCTCGCAGGGAGGTTAGGTGACATTACACCAAGCAGATGCTGTCCCACTTTCCAGTTTCTATGTCCTGTCACTTTCCTTCTTGCAAAAGTCTGGTGCCAGGACTGGTTGGTTGGGCAAGAGCTCCAAACCAACTTTAATTATGCAACCTGAACTGGCCAATTGGATCCCACCCAAAAATAGAGACAAACTGGAAGTGCACAGCATCATAAAACACAGTCCTGTTTACATTGCATATAGATGCACGTAACACAATCCATAGGTTCACCCAGCTCTTATGTTCACAGAGAACCCCTGAGTACATTAGAGCACAACAGATCAAGATGCATTACTGTAAATCATTTTTTAAAAATGAATTTTGTAGAACTATGAATATATGAGTTTCTAAAAACCAATGTTAGAATCAGATATCCACAACTGTACTAATCCTAACCTACACCCCACCCCCAAGCACTGCCTGTTAATAAGTCTTACTTCAGAGTCTAGACTGATTGCAAGGCTGTGACCTTAAATTGGCCTTTACATTCTGGGAAAGCTTTTCCCACCCTGAAGTGGGAAACCACATGATGCTCCAATACGGTTTTT